AGAGCCGTTCAAACCCGACGGCGGCGTCGCACGCGACGCGCATCGGATACGCCGGCAGAGTCCCGTCCCCGTTGAGGATGTACGAACTCGGATACGGGTAATTACCCATGGCCATGTAATCGAACGCGTCTTGCGCCCACGCCATCGCGTCGTCGACGTCCTCGGGCGCGCGCAGCGCGTCGCACAGCCGCATCGACTCGCGCATCGTCGTCCTCTCCCGCCTCGCGTCGTCTCGCCGCGCCTCGAGCATCGTCGCGAACGCGGCTCTCACGCGCCCGACGCACGCCGCGTTCGCGCCCGCGTCCTCGCTCGCGTCGTGCGTCACCCCCTCCGCGAACGCGCCCGCGTCCACGCGCGGGGACTCCCCGTCGAAGCTCCAGATCGGCGCGCTCCCCGCGATCGCGCCGGCGACGAGCCACGGGTACTTGAGACGCATCCACGTGCTCAGCATGCCGCCGTACGACCCGCCGAACGCGATCACCGCGGCGGATGAACGAAACGCGTCGCTCGTCTTCAACTCCGCGATGAGCGTCGCGTAGTCCGCCATCGCCTGCTCGGACGTGAGGTGCGCGAGGTTCCCGTCGCCGAGCGGCGACCGTCCGTACCCGCGGTGCTCCGCGAAGACGAGCGCGGCGCCGTGCTCGGGGGCGAGCTCCCACATGAGCCCCGTGTTGTTCACGTACAGCTCGACGTCCGCCTCGTTCCCGACGTAGAAGAACAGCGGCGCGTCCGCCCCGCGCGCGTGCCTCGCGCACACGAAGTACCGCTGCGAGTACGTCGCCGTCGGACGCGGACGCGGACGCGGGCGACGACGCGCCTCGAGGGATACGCCGGATACGCCGCCGCGAGGGAACGAGAAGTGGTCCACCGGCGCGTCGCGTCTTCGCTCGTCGCACTGCGAGATCGGGGACTTGAAGCGCGCGTGCGGCGGCGGGTGGCCGCGGGAGACGCGAGGGAAGCGCGGGGCGCGCGCCGCGCTCGCGCTCGCGGGCGCCGCGCACGCCGTCGCGAGGACGCACAGCGCGAGCGGCAGCATCGCGACCGCGCGCGCGGGAGGGAGACGCATGACGGAGTGACGACGCGACGCGACGTCGTCGTTGTTAAACGCAGTCATCGCGTCGGCCGAACCACGCCACGTCGTCGTCAGATCGCGACGCGCGGAGGGCGGGTCGCCGCGTCCCATACGACGGCCAGACGACGGCCATGCCCGCGCCCGCGCGGATGTACGTCGCCGCGCTCCGCCCCAAGACGCTCACCGCCGCGCTCGTGCCGTACCTCGTCGGCGGCGCGCTCGGGACGAAAGCCGCGCACGCCAGCGCGTGGGGCAACGCCAACATGGCGCTCCTCGGCTACCTCCTCGTGCAGGTCGGCACGAACCTCGTGAACGACGCGTGCGACTTCCTCTCCGGCGCGGACGCCGACGATCGCGTCGGGCCGACGCGCGTGACGCAGGCGGGCGCGTTCACGCCGCGCGCGGTGCACGCCGCGGGGTGCGCGTGCTTCGTCCTGTCCGCGGTCGCGATGGCGCCGGCGATCGCCGATCGCGGATGGCCGCTCGCGCTCCTGCTCGTCACGTCGTGCCTCGCGGGATATTCGTACACGGCCGGGCAGTACCCGCTCGGGTACCACGGGCTCGGCGAACTCACCGTGCTCGTGTTCTTCGGGTGGGTCGCCGTGGGGGGGATGCGGCACGTGCACGCGGGGAACGCGAGGAGCGATTTTTTTTCGTTCAACACGCTCGTCGCCTCCGCGCAGGTGGGAGCGCTGTGCACGTCGCTCCTCGCGATCAATAACCTGCGCGACGCGAGGACGGACGGCAGGGTGGGGAAGAACACGCTGTGCGTCGTGTTCGGGGAGACGTTCGCGCGGTGGGAGATCACGGCGCTGACGATCGCGCCGTACCTGTTGAACGCGCACTGGCTCGGCGCCGTCGTCGCGCGGCGATTCCCAGAGGTGACGGCGTATCTCGGCGTGGAGACGTACTGGCGCGCGGCCGCGCTGTCGTCGCTGACGCTCCCGATCGCGGTCGACGTGTTGATGACGACGTGGGCGGTCGCGGGGGAGTGGGATCGCGCGCGGGCGGGGAAGGTGCTCAACGGCGTGTTGGCGCGCGCGGCGGCGTTGCATCTCTTCTTCGGCGCTCTGCTCGCCGCGGGGGTGTGGCTCAGCTGACGACGGACGAGAGAGATAGACCGGAGGCTGCGCGCGTCGATAGCGTCGTTATATGATATTCGTTCGTTCGACGTCCGCGGCGCGTCGTTGTTTAATAGCACGCATTTCATGTACAACTATATGCGTGATATGTCAAACAAACATTGTCAAAGCAACCCGTGCCGACGAAGCGGAGCGTCAGTTCACCCCGCCCGACGGCGGCCGGCTCGAAGGCCGGCTCGAAAACTGCGACGGCGGCCGGATCCCCGTCTCTCGCGTCGGCCGCGGGCGCCACGCGAACCCTTCGTCGTCGGGATCCTCCTCGGCGCCCCTCGCGACCTGATCGAGGTAGTCCTTCAGCGACGTCGTCTCCTCCCTCGGCGTGTGATGCGCGCTCGACGGATCCGGCGTCGCGCCCGTCAACGTCCCCGGCTTGACCGGCGACGCCGTGACCCCGACCCCGACCCCGACGCCGACGACGCCGCCGCGCGCGAGCCGATCGTCCCTCTCCCTCCGCGGCGGCGACGCCCCATCATCTCCGCCGCCGCCGGACTCCAAGTCGCCCGTTTCCGCCCCGGGCGCAGAGACCCCCTTCGACTCGCCGCGTCCGCGGTGCTTCGCCTCGTGTTCTTGCACCAGATGATGATACTCCGGGTAGAGCGCGCGGCGCAACCCGCGGTACATGAGATCCGGGAGCAAACCCGCGGCGACCAGAAGCGGGATCCCGGCCCAGTACTTCGACGTCGGCCCCACGGACGTGTGGAAGATGGTGTACGAGTACGTGCTCCAGTACGGATCCGTCGTGCTCAGGATGATGTTACACGCGTACCATATGGCGATGGAGGACCATATGCACGCGTGATGGATCCACGTCCAGTAGTTGATCATCTGCGCCATCTGTAAGTTCACCGTGATCACGATGCCGGTGTAGAGCTGCGTGCCGACTTCCCACAGCCCGAACACGTGGCCGGCGCTGGAGTCCGCCTCGCCGCCGTGGATGAGGTAGAAGACGAACACGAAGTTGATGACGCTGACGTACACGCCGTTCGCCGCCCAGCCGAGCTTGACGATCGTGCTGAAGCACTCGTTGTTCTGCGACTGCTTGTACAACCGCGGGAACTTCAGGCAACTCCGCTGGTTCACGTCTTGGTCCAAGCACCCCAACGCGAGCACGGGGAACGACGTCATCAACACGTTAAACGCGGACATGAGCCAGTCGTTGTAGATGATCTGCCCGCTGCCTTGGCTCGTGAGGTTGAAGTAAAACAACGACAGACCGAACGCGAGGTTCTTGTAGAAGAAGTACGTAACCATCTTCGCGATCCGCTTGTAGTTGTACCGCCCGTGCACGAGGAGCAGACGCTCCAAGTACCGGAACTGCGCGAACGCGAAATCGGACGCCATCACGGCTTGCATCCCCTCCTGCCCGGAGATGCCGACGCCGATGTGCGCGGCTTGGATCATCCCGACGTCGTTGGCGCCGTCTCCGATGGCGAGCGTCGTGCGACCGCTGTCCTTCACCAAGCCCGTCACGAGCGCCTTCTGCAACGGCGATACCCTGCAGCACACGACGGACGTGCACGCGCAGCCGAGGTCTAACAACATCGGCGCGATCTCCTTCTCGAGCGCGAAGGACAACGACCGGCCGTCGATGACGAGCGACATCTCCTTCCCGGATTGAGCGAACTTCAACGCTTCGATTTTATTCGTCCCCTCCGCGATTTGACGCCGCACGCTCTCGCGCGCGAGCGCGTCAAACTCCGCGCGCGTGATCTCGCGGTCCGCCTCCTGCCTCACGAGCTCGTCCACGTTCACGACGTGCATCTCCATGTCCTGTCGTATCAGCGAGCACGCCTGACCGATGTTGATCGCGGTGTCTTGCTTATCCCCGGTCAAGACCCAGACCGCCATCCCCGCTTTCATCAGCTGCGCGATGCAGTGCGGCACCCCGTCCTGGAGCTTATCCTCGATCGCGGTCGCGCCGAGGAGGTACAGGTCTCTCTCGATCGCCTCCGCGCACGCTTCGATCTTCTCGTCCCTCTTCTCCATCGCCTGCGCCGCCTCGACGTAGCCTTCGTTCCACTTGGCGTACTCCGCCTCCGGGATGTCTCTCTTCGCGAGGCACAGCGTGCGCAATCCGCTCGCGGCGTAATCGTCCATGTGCGCCTGCGTCGGTTCCGTGTACTTTTGGTTCCCGTACGCGAGGCGGTCGTATATGATGCTGTCCGCGCCCTTGCAGAAGAGCGTGATCTTACCCTCCGGCGTGCGCACGATCGCGGACATGCGCTTCCTCGTGGAGTTAAACTCGAGGATGTTCAACACGTCGTAGTGCGCGTCACGGACGCCGCCGCCTTTGCCGCTCGGCTCCTCGACGTCCACGCCCGAGGTGTTCCTCGTCTTGAAGAAAAAGCCGAACCGCTTCGCGGCGACGACGAACGCGGCCTCGTCCGGGGACTCGGCCTGGTACGAGATCGTGTCCGGGTTCGGCTCACCCTCCGGGATGACCGTGTGGCACACGGCGAGGCAGCGGAAAAACTCGCGAATGTCGCCGTCGTTCGGTAAACCCATCCACGCGCCGTTGTCGATCCTCTTGTCCTTGAAGTTGAACCCCGGCTCGATCGCTTTCGCGCTCGAGGGCGCGCTCAGGATCCTCCCTTGCCTCTGCGCGATGTTCCGCTCGATCTCCGTGACGCCCTCGCCGTACGACACGCCCGCGACGGAGCACTTGAAAAACTCCATCGAGTTACACGTCAGCGTCCCGGTTTTGTCCGACAAAACCGTGTTCACCATCCCGAGCTCCTCGTTCAGGTTCGACGTCCGCGCGCGCATCGGGGTGTCCGTCTCCGCGTGGTACATCCGCTTGTCGTTGTTCAGGAAGATCATCGCCTGGCACACCTTGACGAATTCCAGCGACACGTACAGAGAAATCGGAATCAAGTACCCGTACAACACGTACGACGTCAAAAACGCCACTAACCCCACGGTCGTGGAGTCGCTCGGGTCGAACACCATGTCCGCGACCACCGTGTTCATGTACCAGTGATCCAGGGACTCGTCTTTGATCCACAGCCCGCACACGACGGCGGTGACGGTGCATATGATCACGAGCAACGCGAGCATGGCGAGGACGATCTGGTCCATCCCGCGCTCCACGGTGCTGCGCTTCGACGGCGCCGCGGACGAGTTCATCATCACCTTGGTGTCGTGCCCGGTGTATATCGCGATCCCGATGACGTACTCCGTGTTCCGCAGCGAGCTCCCGCGCAACAGCACGTTGACGGGCTGCAGAGAGATTTTCTTGACGTCGCCTTCGAACGGAGAGCCGTCGTACACCTCCCTCGTCGCGTCTAAGTTCCCGGTGAACGTGTACAGCGAGTTGTTCGCGTGCTCGCACTCGACGTGGCACGCCTTGTTCGAGCTCATCGCGGCTAGGATCGCGTTCCCGCCGTCGACCACCTTGCCCATCCCTTCCACGCCGCGTTTGAGTTTTAAATTCGTCTCCCCGTCCAAGTTCTTCGTCTCCACGTAGCACACGCGGTCGTCCAGGTTGGACGCGAGGAGGACGAGGTCGCACGGGAACGCCTGGTCTCTCACGACCCTGACGAGGTCGCCGCTTCGCACCTCGCGCCACTCGCACTGCGTCATGGACGTCCCGTTGAACCGTTCCGTGAGCGTCGTGTTTTGCTCCTTGTCCTGCTTATGCCTTTTATAATCTTCCACCGCCTCTTTCGCCATGGAGAGCCCGACGACTAAGATGAGCGGCGTCCATATCGTGTACGGCTCGATCGGCGAGATGGCGGGGAACAGCGAGATGATCGCGACGGAGAGGAAGTAAATGTTCGCCACCCGGCGGAACTGCTCGTACAGCGCCTTGGGCAGGAACGTGAAGAGGTTGTACTTGCCCGTGCAGATCGAGTTGCCCTTGTACTTGAACGCCGCGTTCGCGTCGAGCGGGTCGACGAACACGACGCGCGACTCCGGCTGCTCGCGCTTGGACAGCGAGCGCAACATCGCCGCGTCCACCGTCGATGCCGCGTCGGCGTCGGCGTCACGGGGACGGACGCGGTTGGGCGAACCGATCGCGCGCGCGGCGCGGTCGAACGCGCCCGCGTTCGACCGCGGGGGTGTTCGCCTCGGCTCTGCCCTCGATTAGTCGTCGGACGGCGCGACCGACGACCAATTTAGTTTGAGGGAAAGGTCGGCGCGGTGGTCGCGCGGACGCGCGACGACCGGCGGATGTCGCCCGGCGCGGTGCGCGCGGGGGTGCGCCGTGGGCGCGGCGCGATCGGTCGCGATCGAACGCGCGAGCCACGCGCGCGCGGGTGTGTGCCGCCGCCGCCGCGCGAGGAGGGCGACGGAGAGACGCGGGCTCTGATCGCCTGAAAACGACTGCAGTCGCGGCAGGGTCACGGCGCCAGCCTGGCTTGCGACGCGAATAATATTCGCGTTGTGGGCGAGGCCGAGGGCGCGGCATTCGAACGCGCGCGGTCGCGTCGATGGACCAGGGGGTCATAGACGAGCTGCTGAAGATTTGCATCGCCGCGCAGACGGTCCTTCTCGGATTCTTCGTCATCGTCGCCATCTTCCGAAAGCCGCAGTGATCGAGCGGCGCGCGGCGATCGCGACTGCTGTGCGCGGATTTAAATTAAAAGTCGGCATCGCAGCTGACGAAATCGTCCACCATGTTCGCGGGAGAGGACGCGGAGAACGAGGCCGGGCTGTCCGAGTACGAGCTCGAGCGCATCGCGCGGATCCGACGGAACAGAGAGATCATGAAGCAGCTCGGCCTCGCGGACCACGACATCGTCTCCGCGGCGAGACAACGATGCGGGCACGACGTCGACGGAGGAGGCGACGCGAAGAGAGCGTCTACTACAGGTAGGCCGAAAAAGAAGCGCGTCGCCGCCGGGGAGAACGGCGTCGTCGAGGGCGCGCGCCGCTCGAAGCGCATCGCGTGCGAGGCGGCGTCGCACCCCGAGGGCGTGGACGGCGACGACGCCGACGAGCGCGCCCGCGGCCGCCGCGCCGCTCACGACGCGTACGCGCTCGACGGCGATCACGAGGCGGAGGAGGAAGCCTTCCGCCTTCGCTGGGCGGGACGCCAGGCGCGCGTCTCCATCGTCGGCACGGCGTCGTACCAGCACACGCTGATGCGCGTGCGGACGATGGACGAGGGCGGGCTGCGGCGGCGCGTGAAGGCGATCGAGCGCGCGAAGGGGAAGCACGCGGTGGTGAAGATGCGTTTGTTCGCGCGCGTGCTGTTTCTGGAGGGACACGACGCGCTCAGCGAGGACGCTGCGGCGTCGTTGTCGCGGTTGATCGCCGAGCTCGGGGACCCGGAGGCGGAGGCGGAGGAGGAGGAGGAGGATGGGGGCGGCGAGGGGAAGGAGAACGCGCCCGCGGCGGAGAAAGCGGCGGCGGCCGTCGAGGCGTGACGTCGACGGTTGTAAACAAAGAAGGTAAAATTATCATAAGAATATTTGCGTAGCGTACAGTACACTCATCGCGTCGTCGCGTCGATCATCTGATGATCTCGCGCTCACGCCTTCAGAGGCTTCCCCTCCGCGTCGAGGCAGTCCCACCCGTCCGCCTTCACGCTCTCCACCGCGGCAGGGGACCCGACGATCGCGAGCGCGGCGGTCTTCCCGACGAGATATTTCTCCGCGCACGATCGCATCTTCTCCGCGGTGCAGTCCAACAGCCGGCTCCGGAAGAGCTGCCTGGACTCGTCCGTGAGACCGGCGGTGAATCTCGATGCGCCTCTGGACTGCGGCGCGACCGGGGCGTCGATCGCCTTGAACGCGCGCAGGTGCGCTTCCTCCAACAGCGCCGGGGTGAGGTTCCCTTTCGTCGCCGCCCACTCCGCCGCCTCGACAAACTTTTCAATCGTCGCCGTCGTGTTCGGGTCTCGGTACGACGAAAACGCAAAGACGCCCTCGATCGGCGCCGCGGACGCGCCGCCGCCGTACGCGCCGCCCTTCTCTCGCAGTTCCCTGTGAAGGAAGCTCGTGGACATCGCCTGTGCGAGGAGGAACAGACCCGCGCTGTCCTCGTGCGCGTACGGCACCGTCTTAAACGACGCCGCGCAGTAGTTGGTTTGCGTCGGCACCGCGACGAACGCCTTCGACGGATCGGGCGCGAACCCGGCGAGGGCGTCCGCCATCGTCGCCTCGTCCTTCTTCGCGGCGGCGCCCTTCGCCGGCATCGCCGCGAGGAGCGCGTCCATCGCTTTCGTCGCCCTCTCCGCGGGCGCGCCGGGCTGGCACGCGACGCGGCATCGCAGCACGCGGTCGGAGGCGAGCGCGATGGACGCGATCTCCGCGAGCGCGGCTTCCACCTCCTCGACCGCGGCTTCCTTCTCCGCGGCGAGCCTCTGAAGCATCGCGACGTGCGGCAACCCCGAGGTGCGATAGTCCAGCGCGCTGACGGCGTCGATGGACGCGTTCGCGTAGCCCTTCGCGTACGAGAGCCCGTTCTGCGCGACGCCCCCCGCGGCGGCGGCGGCTCTCCGGGAGAGGAGCAGACCCACCTGAAGCGAATGTCGGGGTGGAGTTCAAAGGCGTCAGGTAGAGTTGAAAGGCGCCGAGGGCGGGGATTGAAAGCGAGAGACCCTGGGCGGAGAGAGACGCCGGGAAAAGTCCTTAAGGATCGGCGTTCACCACGCCGACGCGGTCGTATGGGAACCAGTGTATAGAACCCACCTGCTTCTCCTCGCCGCGCCACCGCGCGCCGGTGACCACCTCCGCGATGAGATCGAACATCGCGTCGACGTTGCGATCGAGCGCGTTGCCGGAGATGGATAAGACGATCTGCGGCGGGCCGTCGCCGTCCAAGGGGAGGATGGAGTCGACGCCCGCGCCGACGCCGCCAGTCTTGAGCTTCTCCAGTTGCGACAGTTGCTTGTAATCGCGCTCTTTCGTCCCGAGCTCCGTGATGAAGTCGGCGAACAGGTCGAGGTACGGCACGAGACGGTCCGGGACGTCGGTGACGTCGAGCAAGACGCTCGCGTACGTGATGCCGTTCGTGGGCTGGAGGTCCAGCTGTAACGGCTTCCCCGTCGCCGTTTTCACGTGCTCCGACGTCCACTTGGTGATCTCGCGCGGCACCGCCTCGGAGACGATCAACGTCGGCAACACGCTCGCGTCTTGCACGGAGTCTTGGCTGTCCCTGAGCGCGACCGCCTCGCGGACGATCTCCTTCTTCTTCTCGTCGTCAAGCGCCGCCTGAATCGCGGCGACGTGCCTCTTCTCTTCCTCCTCGAGCTTCGCGTCGTACGTCTTATCCGCCTCGCCGACGACGGTGACCTTGTGCGGGTTGTCCAGGAACCTCCGCCGCACGAGCTTCTGCCAGAACTTCGGGTCCGCGTCCAGCGCGGCGTTGAGCATCGCCGCCATCGCGGGCGTGCGCAGCGGGCGCATGCCGTCGCCGCCGTGGACCCACGTCCCCATCGCGCCGAACGCCACGCCCAACCCGAACTGCGTCGACGTCCTCGCCGCGCTGAGCTCCACCTGATGCATGATCGCGTCGACGCGGTCTCTCGGGAACCCGTCCTGCGCGATCGCGCGCAGCGTCTCCTCCACGATCGTCTCCACCTTCTCGACGTCCTCGGCGGCGACGCCCTTGAGGCCGACCGCGAACGAGGTCTCGCGTCGGGAGCCGCTGTAGGGCCATTCCATACAAAAACAGTTCTCCGGTCAGTTGAAAGGAGCTGCGATCAAATGTTGAAACCGGGCGATGGGTGAAAAACTTTTGATAGAACGCACCTGTACCCGGTGCCCGGAGCGAACCCGCTTCCCAGTCCGGACTCGAGCAGGCTCTCGTGGAAGTACGCCTGCGGGCCGCTCAGCAGGAGGTCCGACGCGACCGTCAGCGCGAAATTCTCCAGGTCCGCGCCCTTCTCCTTGATCTGGTTCACGAGGAGGTACGCCACGGAGACGACGGACTGCTTCGCCTCGTCCGCGACGACGGCTTCCGCGGGGATCGGCACGACGACGCGTTTCGGCGCCGACAGCCTCAGCTCGTCCGACACGTCCAACGCGCTGACGTCGATCGCGTCGAACTTGCCGAGCGCGAGCTCTTGCGCCTTCGCCAGCGTCTGCTCCAGCGGCAGGTCGCCGTACGTGAAGAACCGCGCGTTCGAGGGGTGGTAGTGCAGCGCGTGGAACGCGCGCAGCTGATCGTGCGTGAGGTCGGGAATGTTCACCGGGTCGCCGCCGCTGTTGTGATGGTACGTGCTCGTGGGGAAGAGCTCCGCGCCGAGCGCGCGGGAGAACCGCGCGCTCTGCGACCCCATCGCGCCCTTCATCTCGTTGAACACGACGCCCTTGTACTTCAGCTCCGAGCTCGGGTCCTCCATGTCCGCGAACTCGAGGCGGTGGCCCTCCTGAGGGTCGTTCCGTCGGTCGAAGCGACGTCGAAAGGCGGAGTCGAAAGGCGTCAGAAGCGGAGTCGAAAGGCGTCGAAGCGCGTCGGGATCGAAAGCGTGGCGTGGGCGAAGAGTGACGAACGCCGGGAGAGAGAGTCCTTATGGAATGAAGTTCACGACGCGAGCGCGGTCGTATGGGAACCAGTGCGGTAATCTATAGAACGCGCCTGAAGGAAATCCTCCCGCGTCAGCTTGGGGAAAAACGCTGCGTCGAGGTAGACGCCGAGCAGGTTGTAGTAATCCACCGTGTTCAGCGTCGCGAACGGGTAGCACGTGTAGTCCGACGCGGTCATCGCGTTCATGAACGTCGACAGCGACCGTCGCAGCATGTTGAAGAACGGATCGCGGATCGGGTACCGTTCGCTGCCGCACAGCGCGGTGTGCTCGAGGATGTGCGCGACGCCCGTGGAGTCCGTCGGCGTCGTTCGAAAGGCGACGTTGAAGACGTTGTTGTCGTCGTCCGCGCCGCAGTGCATCCATCGCGCGCCCGTCTTCTTGTGGATCAACTCCGCGCACGCGACGTTGTACTCGTCGACTTCCTCGACCGCGATCACTTCGAACGCGCCGTCGACGAACGTGTCGCCGACTTTGAGATCGGCGATCGCGGCGACCGCGGGCGCCTTCGCGACGACGGGCTTCTCCTCCACGGCCGCCGCGGACGCGTTCGCGTTCGCGTTGCCGCCCATGCGCGCGGTCGTGATCGACGCGAGGCCGCCGATGAGGACGGGGCGACGCGGGAGGTGCGCGCCGCGGCGTTCGCTGTCGTGCGCGCGGACGACGTTCACGCGACGCGCCGCGAGCGGGGTCGTCGTCGTGACGAAGGAGGAGGACGCGCGCGCGCGCGTCAGCGCGCGTCCGGTCGCGGTGCTCGTGAACGCGCGCATCGTCCGCGCGGGCGCGAGGGATCGGGACATCATCATCTAGGGACCCTGTCGTGTCGCGCGCGAGCGGGTGTGGCCCGGTGCCGTCGTTCCATCGACGTCATCTTTCTCTGTTCTTCCGACGACCTTTCCCGCCATTGGGTCGTGCTTTCAATTTCACCGTAAGTCACTTTCAAAGAGTGCTCGCCAGAGCGGTGATCTTGCCGATGAGCGGGGGGGTAAATGCCAATGAAAAAGGCCGGAATTGCTGAGATGCGCTTCTCGCGCCGACGAACAGCCGTCATCAATCGCGGCGACGCGACGCGCTCTTCACACGGCGTCGCGCTCACGCGGCGATGCAGAGCGCGGCACATCTGGACAGCACCGTTCGCGCGAGCATGTTGCGCAGGATGTGCGTCAACGCGCTGCGGCGCGTCCCCGCCGCGGCCGCCGCGCGGCCTGGCGGTCGCGACGTCGACGCGTTCGCGGAATCGGCGGCGTGCGGAGGAAGAAGAATGCCGCATCGCGTCGGCGGCCGCGCGTCGACGACGTCGCCGGCGTCGTCGCTCTCCTCGCGCCGGTGGATCGCGACGACTCCCTCTCACCTCGCGTCGAAGTGGCATCCCGCGCGCGCGGCGAAAGCCGCCGCCGCCGCGAGGGCCGCGGCGGCAGAGGAGGACGGCGGCGTCGCGAGCGCGACCGCGGAGCAGAGAGCCGCCGTCCTCGCGAAGCTGCCGTCCGTGTGCCCCGGCTGCGGCGTCGGCCTTCAGTGCGACGACCACAACCTCCCGGGGTACTTCGTGATCCCGCAGCGGCTGCTCGACGCGGAGGAGGAAGGGGAGGCGGACGGCGCGGCAGACGCGGACGACGGCGGCCTCGACGGCGTAGACGCCGCCGCCGACGACGTCGACCCGGCGACGGCGGCGTTCAACGCGAGGCTCGCGGAGGCGCGCGAGATGGAAGCCCTCGCGGCGGACGACGACGACGACGACGACGACGACGACGACGCGATGGAAGATGCGATGGAAGACGCGCTCGACGGGATATCCTACGACGACGACGAGACGTTCGAGCTCCCCGCGGATTTCGACGACGGATTGGGCGAAGACGCGATCGAGGTCGACGAGGACGCGGCGTTGGGCGCGCTGAATGCGATGTTCGACGACGACGACGACCGCCGCGATCGCGACGACGACGAGGAGGAGGAGGAGGACCGACGACGCGAGGAGAGGAAAGCGGCGCGGAAGAAGAACCCGAACCTCGTCACGTGCGCGCGGTGTTACAGCTTGCGTCACCACGGCGTCGTCAAAAACCAAGCCGCGGAGATCCTCATGCCGTCGTTCGATTTCGGCCGCGTCGTCGGGAACAAACTCAAGCGCACCGGCCCGGGCGGCGCGGTGATCCTGCTCCTCGTGGACATCGTCGACTTCGACGCGTCGTTTCCGATCGACGCGGTGGACTTTTTGGACCCGTACGTGAAGGACGAGACCGTGGACGTGCTCCTGGTCGCGAACAAGGTTGATCTGTTGCCGACGCGATGCACGCGCGCGAGGGTGTCGAGCTTCGCGCGACGCCGAGCCAAGTCGCACGGGCTGCGGAAAGCCGCGGGCGTGCACCTCGTCAGCGCGCACACGGGCATGGGCATCAACACCCTGAGCGAGCAGCTGATGCAGTTGCTCGAGGACGGGAGGGAAGTGTGGGTGGTGGGCGCGCAAAACGTCGGGAAGAGCTCGCTCATCGTCCGCCTCTCGCGACGGTTCGACGGCCCCGGCCCGGAGGACGGCGGCCCGCTCGCGAGTCATCTCCCCGGGACGACGCTAGGGGTCGTGAAACTCCCGAAGCTGCTTCCGAACGGCACGGACGTGTACGACACCCCCGGACTCCTTCAGCCGTTCCAAGTCTCCTCGAGGCTCACGGGCGAGGAAGCGCGGATGGTGCTGCCGCGGCGGCGGCTCTCCCCGCGGACGTACCGCGTCGAGGTCGGCGGGTCGATCCACCTCGGCGGGCTCGCGCGCGTGGACTACCTCGACGGTCCGCAGCGGACGGTGTACCTCACCGTGTGGGTGAGCGACGACGTCGTGTCGCATTACGTCGTCAGAGGCGAAAACGGCAAGGCGGACGCGTTGTACGAAAAACACGCGGGCGGGAAACTTTCGCCGCCGATTGGCGAAAACCGCGTGAAACAGCTCGGGGAGTGGGGCAGTCGCACGGTGACGGTGTACGGCACGGACTGGAACACGTCCACGAGGGACATCTCCATCGGCGGGCTGGGGTGGGTCGGCGTCGGCGTCAACGGCGAGGCGTCGTTTCGAGTGTGGACGCACGAGGGGGTCAACGTGGAGACGAGAGAGGCGCTGGTACCGGACATGGCGCGGGCGTTACATCGCCCGGGGTTCAGCAACGAGCAGCAGCACAGCGGAGGGAAGGGCGGGAGTAAAGGACGGCCGAGCAAGAAGATCATGCGCGGTGGGGGATACAACGCGCCGACAAAGTCAAAGCGCGGCGGCGGCGGCGGCGGCGGCGGCGATTTTAATTTCTGATCGGCGATCGTCCGTGCGATCTTTCTTCCTCGCGGCGCGACGTACACTGGTCCCCATACGACCGCGTCGGCGTGGTGAACGCCGATCCTTAAAGACTTCGTCCAGTCGTCTTCTTCCTCACGCGTCGCTCTTCGGCGGGCACGTCCCCCGCTCTCTCAAGCTCGCGGCGTAGGTGTTCTCCACGGTCCTCGGGTATTCGTCCCAGTCGATCTCGCCCTCGCACCGCTCAACCCTCGGGAAGTCGTCGCAACACCAAGTCCCCGTTTGCATCCAACTCGAGTCCGGATCGTAGACGTCCTTCCCGTTATCGGCGGGGACGCTGTAGCACGGCTCCTCCGGGGTCTCCGGTCTGATCACCGGCCGGACGTCGCCCAGCTGCGGCGTCGTGTACCTCGCGCCGCCGCTGAGGGCGATTCCACGCGAAAGAAGTGCATCGGTCGTGTCAGTCGAAACGGGACGCGAGCAAACGTTGAAACCGAGGGGCGCGCACAACGCGCCTGTCGGTCGTGTCAGTTGAAACGGGACGCGAGCAAACGTTAAAACCGAGGGGTGCGCTGAACGCGCCTGACGATCTCCACGAACTCGTTCGGGTCGCTTCCGAACCACGCGCCCACGGTGGTGATCGACAACACTTTCACGTCCGCGCACGCGTCGAAGACGTCCTTCGCGTCCTTCTCGCACATCCGCACCCGCCGCGTGATCGTAATCGCGTCCTCGTTCGCCGTGGCGTTGACAGACGTCGGGAGTCTCTCGCGGAGTTCCGGAGTGAGGTCAGGTGCGTACGCGACCGCGCCCGGCGCGCACCCGAGGACGCCGAGGAACGCGGTCGCCCTCGCGACGCACGCCGGGTACCGCGCGAGCATCGAGCAGATGGACGACCGCTCGAGGTCTCCCTCGTCGAACGCGTCGAGCATTCGCGGCGCGGACGGGTTCTTCTCCGAGCGTCGGTCGTCGAACACGCGCCAAACGGACGCCACCGAGGCGTTCGTCCATCGCAGCGCGATCTCGAGCGCTTCGCACGGCGCGCAGCACGACGGGTCGCCGACGTTCATGCCCGGGACGTACTTCGCCGTGAGCGCATCCGCGACGTGCGCGGGGGGTCGCCCGGTCACGAAGCAGAGGAGGTCCTCATCGGCCGCGGCGCTACACGTACACGGGAGGAACGTTGACAGCGATACAGCGACACAGCGTGCCAAAGAACCAGCGGAGAGGTGCGTCTTCCAGGAGCGCGAAGGACGCGAGCGAGCTCGCGATCGAGGGCGGGATCGTGCCATCTGCGTTCCACGTCAACGCGCGCGCGGGCATGACGGAGTGGCGAGCGAGACGACGCGGACGTCGTCGTGGTCGCGTCTCGTCGAGCCTTCCGAGGAAAGGGTTCGAGGCGTAATAACGCTCGATTTTGTTGTTCGTACACTTGACTCTGGACAACAGAAACGCTCGCGTCGTCAGTCGTACCGCGCCGCCGCGCACGCGACCGGACTCGCGGCCGTGCTCGAGCCGTCGCCGCCTTTCTTCCTCCTGCCGCACAACAGCGTCACGACGGGCAAGATGACGATCCCGTGCGCGTAGCTCACGGCGACGGCGACGGCGAAGAGCGGGAAAAAGTAATCCCGCAACGCCGGCGACGACGCCGCGGCGAGCAACGCCGTCCCGACGACGGACGTCACCCCCATGGCGGTGACCGGCTTCGTAAACTGCCGCAACGCGTCCGTTACTTTATCCACGACGTCCATCTTCTCGCTTATCACGATCGAGTACATGATGTGACACACGTACTCGTCCGCGAGACCGATGATCGCGACCAGCAACACCGAAGACACCGCGTTGAGTTTCAACCCCAACGCGCGCGTCGACGCGAACGTCGTCGCCGCGACGGACGCGAGCGCGAGGACGACGATCGCGGCGGTGTAGAAGTTCATCGCGAAAAATACAATCACGCCGACGGCGGCGATCGCGGCGAGCACGCGCGTGAGGTGGTCGCGCCGCTGGTTGATGAACTGCTCGTGGTAGACGTAGTCCGCGCTGATCGGGTACGCGTGCACTTCGATCGCGGCGGCGTTCGCGTTCGCGGGGTCGATCGCCGCGTTCAACGTCGGAGCGTTCATCGTCGGAGCGTTCATCGCGGCGACGGCGCGCGCGATCGCTTCCGGGTCCACCGCTTTCCGTAACGACACCATCGCGTCCACGGTTTCCGCGCTGTCGCGAAGCGGCCGGTGCAGCGTCCGCAGCCTCGAGATCGGTATCGCGCACGCCCGATCGTCGTCCGCGACGACGCGCACGTCGTGCTTGAATGGCTCGCCCTCCGGGGCGTCGTTCAGGAAGATTCGCAGCGCGTCGCAGTCGTCGGCGCCGACGCCGGCGTTGAACGGCAGCCACCCGTCGACGAACGCGTCGTACCACCCGAACACGGGACCGTCCACGTGCGCGTCGTTCTCCACCCTCCGCGTGAGCTCGCGCATCGCCGCGTCGACGCCCGCGCGATTCGCCCCGAAGTAGTCCACGCCTTTGATCACGATGAACACGGGCGGTCCCATGTGCGAGTTGCACGCCGCTTCCACGCGCAGGTACGCGTCGAGGTCCGAACCGGCTCGGGCCATCTCTCGCGGCTCGATCCCGGCGACGACTTTCGTCGCGGCGAACGCGGAGACGAAGAGCGCGGCGAGATACGCGGCGACGACGACGATCTGCACGGGCAGGCGGTCGACGACGCGGACGTAACACGCCGCGGTCGGGAGAAGACTCGGAGGGGACGGAGGATGAAGAACCAGAACCTCGCCAGACTCGGGCTCGGGCTCGACGCCACGACGATGACGACGACGACGACCTGATGGGGAGGAGGAGGAGGAGGATCCGAACGCGGTCTCGCACGCGATCAACACCCCGGGGAACACGGTCACTATCGGCACCAGCGCGAGCGCGACGCCGACGCCCGCGGTGAGGCAGAAACTTCGAAGCGCGGGGACGTCCGTGGTGCCGGCGACGAGCAGCGCGACGCACGACGTGAGCGACGTGATCCCGACGGACGGCACCGAGACACCGAGGCCCTCCGCCATCGCCGTCGCGTTTCGTAACGCCCGAGAAGATGGCGTTTCTCTTCTCGAGTCCGGGGCCCGCGCGTCGTTCGCGTCGGCGTCGTTCGCGTTGGCGTCGTCCGACGCGTCCTCCTCCTCCTCCTCCTCCGCGCGATCGAGCGCGAGGTCGAACTGCTTCGCGACGATGAAGACGTTGTCCACGCCCACGGCGACGAGAAGGTACGGCACGACCTGCACCGCGATCGGCGTGAGCTCCAAGAACGTGGCCGTCAACCCGAGCGTCGCCGCGGCGGCGAGGGCGACGAGCGCGACGCCCGCGAGCGCCGGGAGTATCCGCTGATGCATCCTCGCGAGTTCTCCGCGACGCGTCAGAAAGAAGGTCACCGCGACGGTCATCATGACGTAACACCCCACGAGCACGCCAAAGTCGGACCGCTCTTGCGCCTCGATCTCGAGCGACGCGGATATCTCCGCGTTGGCGACGACGCGGACGCCGACGCCGCCGTCCTCGTTCAGCGCGCGCATCGTCTCGATGAACGCCCTCTCCCACCGTTCCAACGTCTCCGCCGGCGCGGACGCGGGGTCGAGAAAGTACGTGAACACGAACGCCCCGGCGTCGCACAGTCGCGATCGTGTCTGGTCGCCGTCGTTCGGGTTGACTGACTCGGTGACGCACCCCAACACGCGTCGTCGTTCGACCGGCATCGGACCCGAGTACAGCGTCGCGGTGACGTCGTCGCGGAGCTCCTCCGTCGTCGCGTTCGTCGGCACGCCTCCGACGCCGCTCGGCCAGAACGCGAGCGGAGTAAACGCCAGGCATTCCGACGTTTTATCCATCGGCCGCGCGCGCGCGCACAGGTCGTCGAACGTCACGGAACGCGTCGTCACGGCGTCGGCGTCGACGTCGGCGGCGACGGCGACGGCGCGCGCGGCGGCGTCGACCGCGAACGCGGCGCGCACGCGCGCGGCGTCCGCGAGCATCCCGTCCGTGTCCTCGGTCGACGGACAACCTCCGCGGCCGCCGCGCGAACTCCCTAAACCCTCGGATCCCGGGACGTGGACGATGACGCGCGCCGGGCGGCTGAACGGGTCGGCGCCGAACGCGCGCTCGCTCTCGCGTTTCTGCGCCAACGCGCTCGAGCCGCGCGGCACCCAGACGTCGTCGACGTCGCGCGCGAAGTCCGCGGCGAGGAGGCCGAGGCACGCGAGCGCGAGGACGGTCACGGTGACGAGCGCGGAGACCGCGGGGTTGCGCCGCAGTCGTCGTCGCGCACGCGCGGCGGCGTCCGCGTCGTCCGCGTCGTCCTCGGATAGCGCGCGGCGAGGAGAGAGCGGCGGCGACCTCGACCGCGCCCTGGCGCTTCGGCCGACGACCGCGCGCGCGAGAGGCCCCGCGCAGAAGTCCCGGAGCGAGGACGCGGCGGACGCGCGGACGCTGCCGCACGCGCGCGACGCGGCGCTCCACCCGCGCGTGGACGCGGCGGCGCAGTTCATGTCGGGGCGGCCGGGGACGTCGTGGCCCGCGCGGGGGCGTTTGGCGCGCTGCCAACCAAACTGAACGAGACTATGATAGGAAGGCTGGCTCCTCTTCCGAGAAAAAGTAGGCACTTTTCGCAGCGCGCCGCCAGCGCAGCGCGCCGCCACGATGCCGCCGAAGAAGAAGGACGAGCCCGCGGAGGCGCTCGGCGCCGCGCGGTTCGGCCGCGTCCGGAACAACCTCAAGATGGGCGTCGTCGGCTTACCCAACGTCGGGAAGTCGTCGCTGTTCAACCTCCTGACGGACCAGTCGATCGCGGCGGAGAACTTCCCGTTCTGCACGATCGAACCGAACGAGGCGAGGTGCGCGGTGCCGGACGAGCGGTACGACTACCTGTGTCAGGCGTGGAAACCGCCCTCGGAGTACCCCGCGTACTTGCACGTGACGGACATCGCGGGCCTGGTCCGGGGCGCCGCGGAGGGCGCGGGCCTGGGGAACGCGTTCTTGAGGTGCGTTCTACACACTGGTCCCCATACGACCGCGTCGGCGTGGTGAACGCCGATCCTTAAGGACTTTGCCCGGCGTGTCTCTCCGTCCACCCCTCGCTTTCAATCCCCGCCCTCGGCGCCTTTCAACTCCACCTGACGCCTTTCAACTCCACCCCGACGTTCGCTCGTATGGAACGACCCAAAGCCACGTCCAAGCCGTGGACGGCGTCTTCCACGTCGTCCGCGCGTTCGACTCCGAGGAGGTCATCCACGTGGACGACTCCGTGGACCCGGTCCGGGATCTGGAGACGATCCAGGCGGAGCTCTGCGCGAAGGACATGGAGTACCTCAAGCGCGCGGTCGAGCAAGAGAAGATGGACGTGAAGAAGAACCCGACGATGAAGCTCTCCGGGTTGTTTACGTCGACGATGGACAAGGTGGAGGAGATGCTGACGAACAACCAGCCGATACGGACGGGGGATTGGTCCACGCCGGAGGTGGAGATGATCAAAGAGAAGCTCGCGCGGCTGATAACCACGAAGCCGATCGTGTATCTCGTGAACTTGAGTAAGCGAGACTTCGTCAGGAAGAAGAACAAGTGGCTGGTGAAGATTCACGCGTGGATCAAAGAGCACGGCGGCGGGGTCATGATCCCGTTCTCCGTCGAGTTCGAGCGGGAGCTGTGGGATCTCCGCGAAGACGCGGACGCGACCAAGGCGTTCCTCGACGCCGCGGAGGGCGCGAAGAGCGCGCTGCCGAAGATGGTCGTCCAAGGGTACAAGGAACTGAACTTGATCTACTACTTCACCGCGGGGGAGAAGGAAGTGAGGTGCTGGACGCTGTACGAGGGCTCGCTCGCGCCGCAGGCCGCGGGGGTGATTCACAGCGACTTCGAGAGAGGGTTCATCAAGGCTGAGGTGTGCGCGTACGAGGACTTCAAGGCGCTCGCGAAGGGGAAGAGCATGGCGGAGGTGAAAGCCGCCGGGAAATACCGGCAAGAGGGGAAGACGTACGTGGTGAAGGACGGGGACATCATCCACTTCCAGTTCAACGTCACCGCGCCGAAGAAAAAGTAGACCAAAAAAGTTCATCGGTCAGTTAAAAGGGGACGCGATCAAATATTGAAACTGAGCGGTGGGTGAAAATCACAAAAAAACCTGATCTACTGCCTGCGGCTGACGGTCGCCGACGCGCTCGGCACCGTGCACGTCATCGTTAGATCGTCACGCGCACATCGCCGCGCGCCATGCTCGCGACCGCGCTGCGCCGATCCGCGAGAGCCGCCGTCGCGGAGGATGCCAACGCTGCGCGGCGCGCGCGATCGATCGTCGCGTCGTGGATGACCCCCCCCCGCGCGCGCGACCCGTCCGCGGCGCCGTCCGCGGCGCGCGCGGCGTCCACCTCCGGCGCGAGCGCGTCGCCGTCGCCGTCGTCGCCGTCGTCGCCGTCGTCGTCGTCCGAGACGTCCGCGGACATGGCCTCCTTCCGCGCGCGCCTCGCGTCCGGCCCCGGGTTCGGCGACTTCATCGCCGGCTCCGAGCTCCCCGGCGCCGCGTACGCGCTCGCCGCGCCGACGTCGCTGCGCGACAAGTCCACGCGCAAGCCGCCGTGGATGAAGGCGCGTTCTATACACTGGTCCCCATACGACCCCGTCGGCGTGGTGAACGCCGATCCTTAAGGACTTTTCCCGGCGCATCTCTCCGCCCAGGGTCCCTCGCTTGCGATCCCCGCCCTCGACGCCTTTCAACTCCGCTTCTGACGCCTTTCAACTCCACCCCGACGTTCGCTCGTATGGACCCTCGACCCTGAAGCGCACGATCCCCTCCGGCGATCGCTACGTCGAGATCAAGTCCAAGCTCCGCGAGCTCAACCTCTCGACCGTGTGCGAGGAAGCCAAGTGCCCGAACCTCGGCGAGTGCTGGGGCGGCGGCGAGGGCCAGACCGCGACGGCGACGATCATGATCATGGGCGACACGTGCACGCGCGCGTGTCGATTCTGCGCGGTGAAGACGTCGAGGGCGCCGCCGCCGCTCGACGCCGACGAGCCCGCCAACGTCGCCAAGGTGCGTTCTATACACTGGTCCCCATACGACCGCGTTCGCGTGGTGAACGCCGATCCTTAAGGACTTTTCCCGGCGCATCTCTCCGCCCAGGGTCCCTCGCTTGCGATCCCCGACCTCGACGCCTTTCAACTCCACCTGACGCCTTTGAACACCACCCCGACATCGCTTTGTATGGAACGGCCTCAAGGCGATAGCCGCGTGGGGTCTCGACTACGTCGTTCTCACCTCCGTCGATCGCGACGAGCTGCCGGACCAGGGCGCGGGGCACATCGCGGAGACGGTGCGGCGGCTGAAGGCGGACGCGCCGGGCGTGCTCGTGGAGGCGTTGACGCCGGATTTCCGCGGCGACCGCGACCTCGTGACGACGGTGGCGACGTCGGGCGTCGACGTCTTCGCGCACAACGTGGAGACCGTGCCGGAGCTGCAGGCGCACGTGCGCGACCGGAGGGCGAACTGGGCGCAGAGCGTGGACGTGCTGAGGACGGCGAAGGCGGCGGGCGCGGGGATCACGAAGACGAGCGTGATGCTCGGTCTCGGCGAGACGCGCGAACAGGTGGTGAACTGTCTCGAGCTGCTGAGAGAGGCGGATGTGGACGTGGTGACGTTCGGGCAGTACATGCGGCCGACGAAACGGCACCTGCCGGTCGCGGAGTACGTCACCCCGGAGGCGTTCGAGGCGTACAAGGTGATCGCGGAGGGCATGGGGTTCCTGTACGTCGCGTCCGGGCCGATGGTTCGGAGCAGTTACAAAGCCGGGGAGTACTTCCTCGAAAACGTGTTGAAGCAGCGCAGAGCCGCGGCGGCGGCGGGAGAGGGAACGAAGGAGGCCGCGAGGGCCTCCGCGTAGGGTACATCATCTCACTTATTAGTCGTGTTGTCGTCGTGATCGATTCCTCAGGCGTCGCCTGGTACATTAAATCTTCTTCTTAAGTTATTCTTCTACTACAGTACGCGTACTCGGCGGCGCTCGGGCGAGCGCGAAAAAACGAAAATTCGAGCGCGGGGGCGACGCCGCTCATCCATCACCGGTGACCCGCGGGCGATATCAGCGGCGGGCGGATCATCGCCCGCGCGATCCGCGCCTTCGCGGCGGCGAACACCCCCTCCACCTGCTCCGACGGCGACTTCCCGCGCTCGTCCCACCCGTCCACGCTCTCGAACGAGTCGTCCAGCCCCGCGTGCGCCGCCGCCGTCGCCGCCGCGGCTCTGCGCGCGACGTGCGTGGACGCGGCGTCCGACGCGGCGGTGGTCTCGCGCGGGACCCTGGGGACCGCGGTGACTCGCGACAGCGACACCGCGACGAAGCTCTCCTCCTCGGAGCCGGACCCGCCGTCCGTGATGGACAGCTCGACGCGGACCGGGGTGCGCGCGTCGAGCGCGAGGGAGTCGTCCTCGTCCGAGGAATCCTCCTCCTCCTCCTCCTCCTCCTCCGCCGCCGCCGCCGCCGCCGCCGCCGCGGCTTGGACGACGATCGCCGCGACGGCGTCCACCTCGCCCTCCTCCTCCTCCTCCTCCTCCTCCGCCTCCTCGCCGCTCTCGTACACGTATCCCCCACCCCCGTCGGTCTTCTCGCCGCGCGGCGGCGTCTCGAGCGCGCCGGCGACGGCGTCGCCCGCCGCGCCCCCCGCCGCCATCGCTCTCGCGGTCTTCACCCTCCTCGTCAGCGTCTCGATCCGCCGTTCCTTCTCCGCGAGCACGGTCCGCAGGTACCGCAACTCCTTCGCCTGGAACCCCGCGATCTTGTTCAGCTCCGCGAGTCCTCTCGGCGTCTCCGGCGACGCCGCCGCCGCGACGGACGGCTCGGGCGAGTTCCTCGCGCTGTCCATGTCCCGCCGCCGCGCGCCGTCCGCGTCCGCGTAGCCGTCCTCCTCGAACAGCGGCGGCTTCCCGGCGTTGTCCTTCGCCTGCGCGTTCGCCATCCTCAGCGCGCGGACTTCGGCCGTGAGCTCCGCGAGCGCGTCGTCCTGGTCGCGGACGATGCTCTCGACGTAGAACGCGACGTCCGGCGGCATCGGTCGTCCGCTCCGCTCGAGCGCTCGAAGCACGTCCGCGAGCGCGTCCGAGCCCGCGCGCGCGGATCTCGCGTCGCTCGCGGCGCGCGCGCCGTCGTCGTCCTCCCTCGCGGCGCGTCGCTTGACGAGGAACTCCCTGGCTTTGCTGAACACGAACGGCACGGCGAACAGCGCGAGCGAGCCGAGCGGTGCGTTCAGCGCGCGCGGCGCGTACGCCTTCGCGCGGCGTCGCGCGTCGTCGTCAGAATCGTCGTCGTCGGCGTCGCGCCTCGCGCTCGCGTCGAGGCTTCGCGACGCCAGCGCGCCCGCGAGCGGCGCACCGGGGACGAACCGCCGCCCGTCCACGACGCGGACGGCGACGATGTCCTCGCGACGCGAATACAGCGCGTCGTCGTCGTCGTCGTCGTCGTCGTCCGCGTCGTCGTCGACGCGGACCGTCGCGATGCGTCGCCGCCTCGCCGCCTCCAGGAGCCTCGCGCGCTTTTTGCGCTTCCCGTCCTCGTCGAAGCACAGCGTCGGGGAGAGCTTCCCGCTCGCGCCGTAGCCGTAGAGGTTCCCGGACGCGCCGGTCACGGCGAATATCGAGGGCATCGCGGCGTCTCGAGTCGTCGCGAGGCGCGGCGCCGCAGCGTGTGCGCGAGATTCGGGAGAGCTGTCGTCGAACTTCAACGATTCGTTCGAACCGACAGAAAACAACGACGAGCGCGAGCGCAAACGGCCACCTGCAGCGCGCGAGATCCGGCTGAGATCTTCTGCGCTTCGCCTCGGCTTTTCCGCATCGATCGGTCTGGACGCGGCTGGCGGACGCAGAGTTCAACGCGCGCGCGCGGCCGGAGGCTCGAGCTCGCGGCGACTCCGTCCTCTCGCCCGCGCGAGATCCGCGCGCGAGAGGACGCGCGGGGTCCGCGGGCGAGAGGACGCGCGGCGAGAGCGGAGCGCGCGTCGAACTTTCTGAAGTTCTCTCAGAAGGACGCGTCGTTCGTTGTTCGTTCGCGTTGAATTAAAGCGAGACTCCGCCAACAGATAGAAGCGATGGCGGAGGGCGGCGCGGGCGCGCGCGAGGACGAGGACGCGGTCATGATGACCCTCGACGACGACGCGAACGACGACGCGAACGCCTCCATCGCGGCGCCGGGCGACGACGCGTCCCCGGCGCGGTCGTCGTCCGATCGAGGCTCGCCCGCGGACCCGATCTCGCGCGTGAAGCGCGCCGCGGCGACACATCATCACCGAAGCCACAGCGACGGCGAGACCCCGCCGGAAGCGAGCTCGCGTCCTCAGGGCGTCGGCGCCGGGCGAGGCCGCGGCGTCGTCCAGAGGCTCACGTCCGTCGCGCGGAACCTCCCCGCGGTCGGGCACCTGTTCGTTCCCGCGGACGGCGCGGCGACGACGGGGGACGAGTCGCCGACGTCGTCGCCGACGGCGGCGGCGGCGGCGGCGGCGAGCGCGAATCGATTCCCCGACGGCGTCTTCGACATGCGCCTGTCGCACAGTAAAACCAAAAAAGACACGGAGTGGTCCTTCATCAAGCGCGTCAGCAGCGTGAGCAGCCTGCTGTCCGACACCCTGGAGCGGCAACTCGGACGCTTCGGCCCCGCGGGCGTGGAGATTTATCGCTTCGCGTGGCAACGGCTGAACCGCGGCGTCGTCTTCCACATCGTCTTCTACTCCACGCTCGCGACCGCGCTCGTGGTGCTCGCGACGATCGCGGGCTGGCACCTGTGGCTGTTCATGGGCCTGCACATCTTCCGCAGGTTCTGCGTCGTCATCGCGTTCGTCGCCTTCCTCGCGATGCTTCCGCCCGCGTTTCCCAACGCCGCCGCGCACGGGCTGTCGCTCGCGCTCGTCGCCGCGGAGCTGGTGCTGCTCCTCCTGAACCTCGTGCTGTTCGGACTCGTGCACCTCGCGGTGTTGCTTAACAAGCACGCGCTCCCGCGGTGGCTGACGCGGGGTAAGGTGATGATGGGGGAGATGCGGAGCGGCACGATCGATCACAGCGGCAGGGCGAACGTCACGATGGCGCGGGAGCGGAATAAACTCTTGGCGGCGCTCGAGAAGGCGACGACGTACCGCGAGTACGCGGGCGTCGCGTCGCTCTTAGATAAGCTCCCCGCGGACTTGGGCGAGGGCGGGGACGAGTGGCGGCGAGACGAAACTTCGGACAGCGCGGTGTCGTACGACGCCGCGCTGTGTCGCATCTACCTCGCGGTGATGCGTCAGGCGAGGGAGAGCGGCGACGTCGCGGCGCTCGGCTTGGCGCTGCGGACGGTGCTGCATCGAAACTTTGGCGGGATCGATCAGCTGTTCAAGCCCGGCGCGCGCGGGCAAGCGCGGACGGGGACGAAGATCGTCGCGGAGGAGTTCGTGCGCGAGGTGTGCAGGAGCGTGCGGTTCTTGGGCGAGATCGGCGGCGGCGGTCAGATCGGCGGTCTCGGCGGCGGTCTCGGCGGCGGTCTCGGCGGCGGTCTCGGCGGCGGTCTCGGCGGCGGCGGCGCGGCGGCGATCCCGTCGTTACCCTCCGGGCTTCCGCGCGCGATCGGCGTGGACAACCGCGTCCCGGACATGCTCCGCCTCGTCTCCGAAGCGCATCGGTCGTTAGGTCGGACCGCGCTGTGCCTCAGCGGCGGCGGCGCGCTCGCGATGTACCATTTCGGCGTCATCAAGGTGCTGCTTCAGGAGGGCCTCCTGCCGCAGGTCATCTCCGGCACGTCCGGCGGGAGCATCGTCGCGGCGTTCATATCGATGTTCCCGGAGGAGGAGCTTCTGAAGACGATTAGACCGGACTTGAGCTCGCGGCACGGCGTCCGGTGGTTCCCCCCCGTGTGGAAGATGGTCATCAACTTTGTGCAGAACTCGGTGCTGATGTCGTCGGAAAATTTCGCGGAGACGACGAGGGCGTACTTTGGCGACGTCACGTTCGCGGAGGCGTTCGTGATCAGCAAACGCGCGGTGTCGATTCAAATCTCCGTGGGCAGCGGCCACGGGTTCGTGCTGAACCACTTCACCGCGCCGCAGGTGGTGATACGAACCGCCGTGAACGCGTCGTGCGCGCTCCCGGGTCTGATGCGTCCGTTCGAGCTCCTCGCGAAGGATGAAAAAACCGGCGAGCTCATCGCGTTTCACCCGCCCGGCGTGTCGTCGTTCGACGGCACGATCACCGCGGACATCCCCGCGGCTCGCCTCACGGAGCTGTTCAACTGCAACAACTTCATCGTGTCGCAGGTGAACCCGCACGTGAACTTCGTGTTGCACCTCGCGGAGGAAGGCCAAGGCCGAAGGCTGTCGCGCGCCGCGAGAAGCAACGACCGCCGCGCCGCGGTGATCAAGCTCCTCCGCGTCGCCAAGTACCTCCTGCTGAACATCAAGTACGGCGTGCAAAAACTCCTCGAGGTGGACCTTCTGAACTTGCGTATGGTGCGCACGCTGCAGGGCATCTTGGTCCAGGACTTCCGCGGGCACATCACGGTGCTGCCGCAGCTTCAATTCCGCGACTACCTGCGGGTGTTGCGGCACCCGAACGACGACGAGATGGCGAGGTTCATTCGCAACGGCGAGGCGGCGACCTGGCCGCACGTGGAGGCGATCCGGCTGACGATGGCCGCGGAGATCGCGCTGCAGGAGGCCGCCGCGGCGTTGAGAGCGCGGCAGGGGCTCGCGATGAGGGCGCGAGGGCGAAGGAGCGACCCGAGCCGCGACGGCGGCGGCGGCGGCGGCGGCGGCGGCGGCGGCGGGTCCGAGTTCGGCGGCGGCGGCGGCGGAGGGCTCAGGCGGTTCAGCGACGGCGGCGGCGGCGAGCGGCACGGGGCCCAGGACGCGATGACGGCGGAGGATCCGATGTCCCCGGGGCGGAAGAGAGACGCGACGCACGCGGAACACCTGGGCGCGGGGTTATCCTGCGCGGTGGAGCCCGCGGCGTGGCACTGACGACGAGAGTACGCGCTCGTTACTTACGTAGAGATAGCACAGCACACGGCACGTACGAGGAAGAATGCACTCGCAGTCGACGACAGCTGTCGACGACGACGCGGTCGCTCACGGCCACTCGCTGCGTATCCGCGTCGCGCGCCCGCGCAGACCGTCGCGCGCCGAGACGCCGACGCCGCTTCTCCGTTCGCGCCGCGAGCATGGCGAGCGCTTCCGCCGCGCGCGCGGCGATGCGCCCCCGCGTCCCTCCCGCCTCGCGCGGCTCGGCCGCGCGATATCGCGTCGCGCCGCGCGCGTCCCCCCGCGCCGCGGCGACCAGGGCCGCGCGATTCGTTCGCGCGAAATCTCAATCTTCCTCCGTCGTCTCCGCGTCGACGTCCGAGCCCGCGTGCGCGACGGACGACACCGGGAAGATGGTCTGCGTCGAGGAGACCAAGGGCGTCGTGTTCCCGTCGAACCTTCGATGCGCGCTGCAGGTCATCGTGCCCACTCCGGAGGTGGACGACCCGGCGTACTCGCTGTCAGACTACATGCGCCTGCCCGTGGATCAGTACGTCGGCATCGAGCTCCCGATGGGCGCGCAGATGAAGCGCGTCCCGGGGTCGGACTCGCTCTTCCAGCTCGAGATCCCGGGGCTGAAGTTCCTCTCGTTGGAGGTCAAGCCCGTGGTGCGCGTGCGCGTGCGACTCATCGACGACGGCGAGGTTGTCCAGACGTGGACCGGGCAGAGGGGCGAGCCGGGCGGGAAGTCCGTCGCATTCAGAGAGGAAGAAGCCGCCGCGATCGCCGCCGCGGAGGAAAAGGCGAGAGAGGCGGAGGCGAACGGCGACGACGCGAGCGCGATCGAGATCCCGGTCGCGACGCCGATGGGACGCCCCGAGCGCGAGGACGTCGCGCTCATCGGCCCGTGCGTCCTCATCGAGGCGATCTCGTGCCGCGTCGAGGGGAAGGTTGTGGAGGAGCTCGGCGTGAACGATCTGTTCGTGTTCCGCGGGACGACGTGCTTCCGGTGGCGAAGCGCCGGCGACGACTCGCTCGCGGGACCGCCGCTGCGGCGGACCGGCCCGGGCGGCGAGGAGGAGGAGCCGAGCAAGATGGTGGTCGGGAAGGCGAGGGAGGACGAGAGCGTCATCGCCGGGTGGGCGGACATCGGCGTGGGCGTGGACCCGCCGGGGGCATTCGCGCTGCTGCCTCAGTCGTTCGCGGAGAAGGTGGGCGACGCGGTGATGCGGACGACGCTGAAGGCGTTGCAGACGGTGTTTTTGAAAGGGTTGGGCGCAGATTATCAGAGATGGGCGAGCGACGCGGAGTACAGAGCCGCGAGGGAGGTGGCCGCGAAGGAAGCCGCCGCCGAGGCGGCGAGGGAGCTCGGCGACTGCGAGAGAGCGAGCAGCGCGGCGTAGTCTAGCGAGTTGAAACCAACGAAGTCGATGATTTTCGCGCGATGTGTACTGCACACGTAGAGTACAGTAGAGTACGTAGTAGATCTTTTGGCGCGACGTTCGGACGTTTCATTACAATCATCGTGGTACAGTTCGGTTCTCGTGAGGCTATGCGGGGACCGAGGAAAGCACGGGCGAACCTAATACAGCTGTCGCCGGGACGGGTCGTCCTCGCGTGACGCCGATGCTAAGACGCCAATGCGGCGCTCAGTTGCCACCGCGGAGGCGGAGCACGAGGTGGAGCGTCGACTCCTTCTGGATGTTGTAGTCCGCGAGCGTGCGCCCGTCCTCGAGCTGCTTGCCCGCGAAGATGAGGCGCTGCTGGTCGGGGGGGATGCCCTCCTTGTCCTGGATCTTCGCCTTCACGTTGTCGATCGTGTCCGAAGACTCCACCTCCAGGGTGATGGTCTTGCCGGTGAGGGTCTTCACGAAGATCTGCATGCCACCGCGGAGGCGGAGCACGAGGTGGAGCGTCGACTCCTTCTGGATGTTGTAGTCCGCGAGCGTGCGCCCGTCCTCGAGCTGCTTGCCCGCGAAGATGAGGCGCTGCTGGTCGGGGGGGATGCCCTCCTTGTCCTGGATCTTAGCCTTCACGTTGTCGATCGTGTCTGAAGACTCCACCTCCAGGGTGATGGTCTTGCCGGTGAGGGTCTTCACGAAGATCTGCATGCCACCGCGGAGGCGGAGCACGAGGTGGAGCGTCGACTCCTTCTGGATGTTGTAGTCCGCGAGCGTGCGCCCGTCCTCGAGCTGCTTGCCCGCGAAGATGAGGCGCTGCTGGTCGGGGGGGATGCCCTCCTTGTCCTGGATCTTAGCCTTCACGTTGTCGATCGTGTCTGAAGACTCCACCTCCAGGGTGATGGTCTTGCCGGTGAGGGTCTTCACGAAGATCTGCATGCCACCGCGGAGGCGGAGCACGAGGTGGAGCGTCGACTCCTTCTGGATGTTGTAGTCCGCGAGCGTGCGCCCGTCCTCGAGCTGCTTGCCCGCGAAGATGAGGCGCTGCTGGTCGGGGGGGATGCCCTCCTTGTCCTGGATCTTAGCCTTCACGTTGTCGATCGTGTCTGAAGACTCCACCTCCAGGGTGATGGTCTTGCCGGTGAGGGTCTTCACGAAGATCTGCATGCCACCGCGGAGGCGGAGCACGAGGTGGAGCGTCGACTCCTTCTGGATGTTGTAGTCCGCGAGCGTGCGCCCGTCCTCGAGCTGCTTGCCCGCGAAGATGAGGCGCTGCTGGTCGGGGGGAATGCCTGCGAAACGAAGCCGTGGGAGTCAGATCTCGCTCGCTCGTCGTCGCTCTTTAATTCTTGGATATTTCGAAGCGTGAAGAAAGATAGGCCGCGGCCGGCGACGACGCGGCGCGAGGCGCGCGCGTCGCGGGAACGCGGCGCGAGATCGGGTCGAAACGCGAAAGGATGGCAAACGAAATCGGGTCACGGGCGGAATCGGGCCCCTCTTCCGCCGCGCGCGTCCTCGAGACTCGCGACGTTTCAAACGAGGGTGCCAGATCTCGCGCCACGACGACCGCGATCGTCGTTCAAATTCGTGGCACGCGCGCGCGGGACGCACCCTCTTTGTCCTGGATCTTAGCCTTCACGTTGTCGATCGTGTCCGAGGACTCGACCTCCAGGGTGATGGTCTTGCCGGTGAGGGTCTTGACGAAGATCTGCATGTTGTCTGCTGTGTTCGTGTGCGGTCGAAGCACGCGCGTCGATGGTGTGAGACGTCTTGTCTTCCGCCTCGTGCTTTTCGAGGCGATGACGTCTCTCGCGCCAAGAATCCGCATCCGTCGCGCCATTTTCGTCCACGCTTTCGGCGCCGCCGATTAACTCGTCGTTAGACCGTCGTTTCACCGGTCGTCTCCACCGTGACCGACCGACCGATCGTACGTGACGTAGATTCCCGTCCCCGTCCCGTGCTTCTGAGCGCTCATCCGTCGCCGACGTCGCGCCACCCCGACGCGCGCGCGAGGACGACAGACGCGCACGATGCCCGCCGCCGCCGCCGCCGCCGTGCTCGCGGCACCGCTCGCCGGCCGATGCGCGTACGCCGCGTCTCGCTTGAGGACCCCCGTCCGCCGCGCCGCCGCGTCGGTCGTCCCCCGAGCGATGCCGTTCCGCGCGCGATGCGGCGGCGCCGTCGCCCCGGCGTCGTCCGCGCGTCGTCGCGCGGCGCGAGGGTCCAGCAGAGCCGTGACCGCGCGCGCGAGCGCGGACGACGAGATCTACCGCGTCATGTCCGCGAACCAGGAGGTCTCCGTCGTCGCCGTCGTCGGCACGAAGGTGGTCGCGGACGCGGTGTCGCGTCACAAGACCGCGCCGACCGCGACCGCGGCGCTCGGGCGAACGATGCTCAGCGCGCTCCTCCTCGGCGTCTTCAAAGGCGACGACGAGACGGTCCAAATCACGTTCAAGGGCGACGGCCCGATAGGAACGATCATGGCGATCAGCGACAACCGCGGGATGGTGAAGGGGATGTGCGCGAACCCGAGCGCGGACCCGCCGCTGCGCCCCGACGGCAAGCTGAACGTCGGCGCGGCGGTCGGCAAGTGCGTGCCATCTCACACTGGTTTCCATACGACCCCGTTTGCGCGGTGAACGCCGATCCTTAAGGACTCTCTCTCCCGGCGTGCGTCTCTCTCCGCCCGCGCCTCGGTTTCAACGCCCGCGCCTCGGTTTCAACGCCCGCGCCTCGGTTTCAACGCCCGCCCTCGACGCCTCACGACTCCGACTGACGCGCCTATAACTCCGCCCGCGGAACGACCCGCAGAGGCATTCTGAGCGTCTCGCGCGCGCACCCGGACTGGAAGCAGCCGTTCACCGGCATGGTGAACATCGTCACCGGCGAGATCGCGGAGGACGTCGCGACGTACATGCTCGAGAGCGAGCAGGTCACGTCCGCGATCGCGGTCGGCGTGAGCCTGGACAGGGCCCTGGAGATTCGAAGCGCCGGCGGGTACATGGTGCAGGTGTTGCCGTTCGCGTCCGAGGAGACGGTGAGCGCGTTGGAGAAGAGCATCGCGGCGCTGCCGTCGACGACGGACATGATCGCGGACGGGTGGGACGCGCGGACGATCGCCGCGAAGGTGTTGGGCGACCTCGGCGTGATCGAGGACACGGCGAGCAGGTCGACGCCGTCGTACGGGCCGTGCGATTTGGACGATTTGCGGACGCGGATGATGCGCGCGCTCGCGTCGATGGGGCGGGCGGAGGTGGAGAGCATCATCAAGGAGCAAGGGGTCGTGGAGATGACGTGCGAATTTTGCAAGGACACGATCGTGTTCACGGAGCAGGAGCTCCTCTCCGCGAAGGATGAAATTTGAGCGGTGGCGTCGACTTCATCGACGCGACGGGGTCGTCGGCGCGGTCTTCCCGCGCGTTCGATTACAGTAGGTTATTATTCGACGGCGATTTTGTAAAGTGTTTCACGCGCTGCAGTGCAGCAGCACGGTTCGCGCAACGTTTCATATCTCGCATTGCAACGTGTTTATTTATTTATTTTCGTAGGTATTTTTCGTTCGTCGGCCGCGGCTTCGGGTCGTCAACGCAAGACCGTGTTGACGTCCGCGCGCGCTTCCGCTTTCTCTTCTTTTCCATTTTTTCCATTTCTTTTCAGGGCCGTCCGTCTTCTTCGTTCGTCGATCCCTCGGTCCCGTCATCGCGACCAGGACATCCACGACGCGAGGCCGCCGTCGCCGTCGTCCTCTTCCATGTCGAGCCCGACGTCGTCCTCCAGCTGACCGGTGTACACCCCCCTCAGAGACGTCTGCACCGGCCCAGCCTCCATCGCGGCCTCGATCGCCTTGACGTACCGACGCATCCGGTGCGACTCCAGACGATCCGTGCGCTCCATCGCGGGCTGCGACCGGAGCCGCCACAGCGCCTGGAAGATCGTCGGCCCGGCGCGGTCGTTCGCGATCTGATCCGACGCGGCGACGATGTTGTTCGCCGCCGCGACCGCCGCCACCGCGGAGACGCTGGCGTCGCTCTCCGCGGCGTCCGCCCTGGACGTCGCCTTTTCCCACTCCGTCGCCGCCGCAGCCGCCGCCGCGCCCGCGCCGCCCTCAGTCTCCGCGAGCCGGACGAACAGCTCCCCCTCGACGTCGTCGAACGGCGCGGGGTCCGAGGTCGAGAGACTCGCGCTCGTCGCCGCGGAGTTCTCGTGAGGCGCGTGCGCCCACTCCGCGACCTCCGCGGCCCACTCGTTCTCGGACATCGGCAGCGCCTGGAGGTTGAACGCGTTGGCCGCCGCGGAGGCGTCCCCGCTTTTCGCCGCGACGGACGCCGACGCCGCGGCGACAACGCCGCCGACGCCGACGCCGGGCGTGGCCGCGACGACGACTTCCCCCGCGCGCGCGACCCTCGTCGCGATACCCTCGCGCAGGTTCGCACGCAGCGACGCGAGGCGCTTCCTCGCGGAGGCCCACCGTCCTTCCCTCTCCTCGCCGATACCAGTGCCTACGCCGCCGACGCTGCCGATCGCCGCGTCCGCGTCGTCGGCCGACACGAGGACGTCCACGTCGCGCCCGCGCCCGAGCCCGCCGCCGCCGCGATCCTCCTCCACCGCAACCGCGGCGCGATCCATCTTCCCGGACGCGTACCCCAAGTGCGCCTGTTGCCGCCACAAAATCCCCGCGGTGCCCCACTCGTTCGTGAGGTTCGCGTACCGCCCCGGCGTGTCGTTGTCCAACATCACGCCCTCGCCCAGGTGCACGTACGGCTTCCGCACGAACGGCCGCGACATCGGCAGCAGCGGGATGATGTCGTCCTTCTGCACCACCCTCAAGATGTTCAGCGTCTCCGCGGCTTCGCGCGTCTCTCTCGGCCCGAGCTTGGGCGCGCCGAACGTCACGACCTTGACGACGTTCACCCCCGCCGACTGATACAACAGCGCGACGGCGACGGCGACGGCGCCGCCGAGCGAGTGCCCCGTGAGCTGCACGTCGTACCCGGGCACGACGTAGCTCGCGAGCGCGTCGCGGCACGCCCTCGCGACGATGCGATACCCGCGGTGCATGGGGAGGTGGTCCGTGCAGCCCCTGAGCGCGTACTCGCCGTCCGGCGCGTCGAAGTCGATGTTGGCGCACACTTCGTCGTCGTCGTCCTCATCGAACGACCCGGACCCGTCGCCGTCCTTATCGCTCTCGTCGCTCCGACCAGGGCCCCCGATGCCGCCGATGCCCAGCCGCGGCATAGATGGGAGCCCCGCGAACGCGCCGGAGAGAGACCGCCCCACGCTCGCGAGCCTCCCGGACGCGCGCACCGGGTTGGAGCTGAGGGTCGTTCCATACGAGCGAACGTCGGGGTGGAGTTGAAAGGCGTCAGATGGAGTTGAAAGGCGTCGAGGGCGGGGATTGAAAGCGGGGGGTGGGCGGAGAGACACGCCGGGAAAAGTCCTTAAGGATCAGCGTTCACCACGCCGACGCGGTCGTATGGGGACCAGTGTATAGAACGCACCTCAGACGGATGTTCTGCACCACGTTGGTGAGGTTCGTCGTCCCTCGGAACGATATCGTGTGCGTCTTGGACGCGTGGTTCGTCGCGATGAACAGCTTCTGCTTCACGCTCTCGAGCTCGATGACGACTACGTCCTCGCCGGACTTGTCGAAGAACGCCTCGATGGTCTCCTTCGGCGCGCCGTTCAGCGCCGCGACGTGCGCGAACCGCAAGAGCTCGTCGAACGTCTGCACGACGGGCAGCGGCGGGTACGTCAGCTCGCGTCCCTTGGCCCGCAGCTTCTTCACCTCCGTCTTCACCTTGTCCGCGACGGACGCGATCGAGGGAGGGAGGTTGATCTTAAACTCCGCGGCCGCTTCCATGATCGCGTCCAGGTCCGGCGGGGTCGGCGAGTATTGGGCGGACGGGAGCGGCGGCGGCGCGTCGACGACGCCGTCGCTCTTCTCCATCTTCTCGCGGTCGATGACCTCGACGCCGGCGGTCGCGCCGCCCTCGTCGTCGTTGAACGCCGCCCGCGGCGGGATCTTCGGGATCACGTTCCGCGCCTTGGACGCGAGCCGCCGCGTCGTGAAGACCACCTTGGACGCGAACGGCGCGGAGGAGGAGGAGGATTCGTCGCCTCGGAGCGATCCGCGCGCGAAGAGGCGACCTCCTCGCAGCGGCGTCGCGAGCCCGGGCGAGACCTGCCGCACGCGCGGCACCGCGGCGACGAGCCGCTCGAGACCCTGGAGAAGAGGAACACGCGCGAAGGCGGGCGGGCGCGCGATGTCTTGGTCAGCGACGCGATGGACGCGGACGGGGACGGCGGCGCGCGACGTCGTCGTCGTCGACGCGCGCGACGCGGCGAAAAGAAACTCGTCGAAGGAATATACTTTCGTCGGACGACGCCGCGCCGCGCGGATGGCGCGTCCGCGACGCGCGGGAGGTTCAATCCGCGCGGGACGCACCGAAACGATCGAGGACGACATCGTCGCGATTCCGCGCGCGGTTTCTACTCCGCGCGGTCACGCGATCGCGCGCGCGCGACGATCTACCGCGCCGGTCTCGCGCGCCGCGCCGCGCCGGTGGCGACCGCTGGCTAAGAGAGACGCCGTTCCCGACGCGCGGGTTACGCCGCGGCCGAAGCGCGCGGGCGACGGGCCGAGCGACGGCGTGTGAGGCGGCGAGGACTTCTTCACGAAAGTCTCTCGCGGTTCGTGGTGTGCGCGCGGACGGGACGTCGGCGCTCGCGCGTCGCGATGTGCCGCCGCCGGGTGACGTCGCCTCGCTCCGAGTTGGACGCGGGAAACGAGCGCGAGCGAGCGAGAATATATCCTGACACGTGCCGCGAGAATTTTCACCCGTCCCTCGGTTTCAACATTTGATCGCGTCCCGTTTCAACTGGCCGATGAAAATTGTACTGTATGTACCTCTCGATCGATCAACCCGGGCCGGGTCGAAGAAATATCACTCTGATGAGTCGTCAGTCATTCACAAATAGTCGCGCCGCTCTCTTCTTCTACCGCCTCGCTCGCTCGCGCGTCACGGCGGCGACGGCGGCACGCCGCGCCGCGCCCGCATCTCCCCGAGCTCCTTCGCCATCAAAAACGCCAGCTCCAGCGCCTGGCTCGCGTTCAGTCGCGGGTCGCACTCGGTCTCGTACCGCAGCTCCAGATCCCCCTCGGTGACGGTCGCCGTGCCCCCCGTGCACTCCGTGACGTTCTTCCCCGTCATCTCGAGGTGGACGCCGCCGGGGTGCGTCCCCATCTGCTCGTGCACCTCGAAGAACGCCATGATCTCGTCCCGGACGCGCTCGAACGGCCGCGTCTTGAACCCGTTCTCCGTCTTGATGGTGTTGCCGTGCATGGGGTCGCTGACCCAGAGGACGTTCAGTCCCGCGTCCTCGACGGCGGTGATGAGGCGAGGGAGGTGCTCGCGGAGCTTCGCGGCGCCCATGCGCGAGATGAGCGTTATCCTCCCGGGGACGTTCTCAGGGTTCAGCGACTTCACGAGCGACACGACGGAGTCCCCGTCGGACTTGTCCGAGATTTTGATCCCGATCGGGTTGGACACGCCGCGGAAGTACTCCATGTGCGCGCCGTCGGGCTGCCGCGTGCGCTCGCCGCACCACAAAAAGTGCGCGGAGCAGCCGTAGAACTCCTCCGTCGTGCTGTCCAACCTCGTGAGCTGCTCCTCGTACCCGAGGTGCAGCGCCTCGTGCGCGGTGTAAAAGTCCGTGGACTTCATCGTCGGGTGGTCCTCGTCGATGCCGCACGCCGCCATGAAGTTCAGCGCCGCGTCCACTCGGTCGGCGAGCTCGCGGTACTCCGCGCCCTCCTTTTCGCCCTCCATGAAGTCCAGGTTCCACTTGGTGACGCGCTGCATGGACGCGTAGCCGCCCGACGAGAACGCGCGGAGGAGGTTCAGCGTGCTGCAGGACTGGTCGTACGCTCGGATGAGCCGCGACGGATCCGGACGCCGCGCCTCCTCCGTAAACTCGGACGAGTTGATGTTGTCGCCGCGGTACGACGGCAACGACACGCCGTCGATCGTCTCGAGGTCCTCCGATCGCGGCTTCGCGAACTGCCCAGCCATCCTCCCGAGCTTCACGACGGGAACGCCCGCGCCGTACATCAACACCACGGACATCTGAAGCAACACCCGGTACGTGTCGCGGATGTGATTCGTGTTGAACTCTTTAAACGACTCCGCGCAGTCGCCGCCGAAGAGCACGAACGCGTTCCCCGCCGCCGCGTTCGCGAGCTGCGCCTGGAGCCCGCGCACCTCGCCCGCGAAGACCAGCGGCGGGCGGTTCGCGATCTCACTCAGCGCCACCTCGAGCTCAGCCTGGTCGACGTAGTTGGGCTGCTGGAGCGCCTCGCGGTCTTTCCACGACGACGGGCTCCAGTTCGCGAGCGACGCGCCGGTCGCGGAGATCTGCTTGTTCGCGCGGTCGGGGGCGTCGTACAGCGCGTCCGGCTGCGCGGACGGCGTGATGACCGCTCTGCGGGTGGGGGGACGGGAGGGGGTGGGGCGTCAGCGCGCTCAGCGCGGGGGGCGGCGGCGGGACGCGCGGAGGCGGCGGCGGGGCTTTTCTTTCTTTCTCTCTCTCTTCTTCGAGGACGAGACCGGACGGATCGGCGGAGGCGGCGGCGACGACGCGCGACGCGCGAGGGCCGAGCGCGCGCGATGTCGCACCTGGTCGTGATCGCGGCGGCGCGACGCGCGCCCGCGCGGCGGACCGCGCGAAGGTTCGGCGCGCACGACGCCTTGAGCGTCACCGCGCGCGTGGATAGAGCCATGACGACCCTAAACCTGTAGAGCGACGATTGATCGATTGCCGGACGGCGGGGGGGGGAATCGACCGTCAGCGACGGCGCGCGGCGACGGAAGCGCGCGGAATCGCGCGACGCGCGCGCGGAGGAGAGTTCCGAGACGTCGACGCACCGTGTGAGGGGCGAGGGAGTTCGGCGGCGACGGTGGGTTCGACCAGCCGCGCGTGCGTGAGTGCGCGAGTCCGACGCTTCGAGGGTGCGACGCGACGCGAAAAGGGGCCGAATATCTTCGGGCAGCCGCAATTTTCGCTCCGGTCGGGGTAAGTTGTTAGACCGACCGCCGCTCGGTTTCGACCCGTTGAAGATTCACGAGATTCATCGCGCGCCTCGCTGTCAATTTCTAAAAAAATCCTCCGGTAGAGCCACCGCTTGACCGCCACGCGTCACTTTGAAAATCTCGCGCGCGAAAAAAACGCGGGACTGCAGACTTTTCGCCGAACCTCGCGCGAGCGGTCAAAGCCCCCCGCGGCGGCACACGCGACCGTCCCCGCGACGTGCGCGACCGATCGAACGTCGGCGAACGCCCTCGAGTCATCGCCCGCGCGCGCTTCGGAGCCGAAGACGTCTCGCGCCGCGCGCGACGCCCCGCCCTTCGAGCGCGATCGAAACGCTACGGAAGCGAAACAATCGTCTCAACGAACAACATCGCGACGATGCGCGCGACGGTCTCTCGCGTCGCGGTCGTCCCGCGCGCGCGACTCCACGCGCGATGCTCCTCTAACGGGAACGACCGCGTCAAGGCGTCCGGGAAGAGTCCCAAGAGCGGCAAGGCCGCGACGCGCAGGGCGTCCATCAAAGGTGCGCGCGATCCGGGAGAGGACGCGTCGCGCGACTTTTAAATTCTTATTCCAAACAAACCGACGCGCGACGACTGATCGTCTCGTCATCTTCCTCGTCGCAGGCGCCGCGCGAGACTGCGGAGCCGCGGACGCGCCGTGCTTCCCGGAAGAGCACGACTGCGCGGTCAGAGACGCGGACGGGTTCACGACGTACCGCGACGACCTGGACGCGATGATCGGGGTGCGATCCGATCCACCCCCCCAAGTCGTCTCGTCGGTCGCGCGAAATATTATATTCCCTTCCGTCGTTCAACGATCAGTCGATCGATCCGTCCCGCCGCGCCGCCGCTGACCGTCCTCTCGCCTCTCCCGTCCCCTCCCTCGCGTCGTGCGTTTGTCAGATGCTCCCGTCGGACGTGCGCGAGGTGCTGATGTGCCACCCGCACCGCGCGAGCCTCGTCGAGGTGATCCTCGACCTCGGGCGGTGTCCCGTCGCGCGCTTCGTCGGCGACGCCGTCCCGGACGAGTGCCTTCGCGCGGCGCCCGTGACGGCGGAGGATCTGCGCAAGGCGGAGGCGAGCGTCGGCGATTTCGGCGGCGACAACCGCGCCGGGATCGAGGGGACGCTGCACCGGATATCGTGCATACGCAACCGCGCCGGGAAGATCGTCGGGCTGACCTGCAGGGTCGGACGCGCGGTGAACGGCCACGTCGACATGATACAAGACTTGCTCGGCTCGAGCGAATCGTGTTTGTTTCTCGGGCGGCCCGGGGTGGGGAAGACGACGGTGATCCGAGAGATGGCGCGCGTGCTGAGCGACGAGCTCGGCAAGCGCGTGGTCATCATCGACACGAGCAACGAGATCGGCGGCGACGGCGACGTCCCGCACCCCGCGATCGGCGGCGCGCGCCGGATGCAAGTCCCCGAGCCGTCGGCGCAGCACAAGGTGCGTTCTCCTCACACTGGTTCCCATACGACCGCGTTGGCGTCGTGAACGCCGATCCTTAAGGACTTTTCCCGGCGCATCTCTCCGCCCAGGGTCCCTCGCTTTCAATCCCCGCCCACGACGCCTTTCAACTCCGCTTCTGACGCCTTTCAACTCCACCCCGATATCATCGCTCGTATGGACCCTCGACCCTCAGGTGATGATCGAGGCGGTGGAGAACCACATGCCGGAGGTGATCATCGTGGACGAGATCGGCACCGAGGCGGAGGCGCTCGCGTGCAGAACGATCGCGGAGCGAGGCGTGCAGCTCGTCGGGACCGCGCACGGGCAGCTCCTGGAGAACTTGATCCAGAACCCGACGCTGAAGGACCTCGTCGGCGGCATTCAGTCCGTGACGCTCGGCGACGACGAGGCGAGGGCGCGCGGATGCCAGAAGACCATCATGGAGCGCGCGGGTCCGGCGACGTTCCCGATCGTCATCGAGATGCACGAGCGCTCGTTCTGGGTCGCGCACAACGTCGAGGAGTCCGTGGATGAGATTCTTACGGGAGGCAGGCCGATGGTGCAGACGCGCGCGAGGAAGGATGGCGAGGTTGTGGTCCACCGCGCGGTGTACGACGCCGACCTCGCGTTGGCGCGGCACGCCGTCGCGCACACGCTCGGGAGCATGGGAGGGATCATGGGCAGCACGACGACGACGACCGCGGCGGAGGCGATCGCGAGCGTGACGGAGTCGACGTCGGAGCCGTCGTTGGACGAGAGAGTGTTCGGTTTCGGCGCGGGGCTGGGGGCGGCGACGACGCCGGCGACGGCGACGCCCGCGTTCGCGCGGAACAACGTCGTGTCCGACGCGCGGTCGCGGAGGAGAGCGTCCGCGTCCGCGGCCGCGGCCGCGGCCGTGGCGTCGAGGGACGATGACGATCCGTACGCGTGGGCGCGGGAGCTCGGGAGGATCCCGGACAAGGACGCGCTCGCGGCGATGGGCGCGAGCGGGTACGCGTCGGACGACAGGAGCTTCAACGGGAACGGAAACGGCGGCGCGGATAAACGCGGCAACGGGAAGAAGGAGAAGAAGAACCGACTCCGGAGCGCGCGCTGATCGTCGATCGACGCGACGCGACGCGCGGGAGAATCTGATGCGGCCGCCGAGCGATGCGTGGATCGATCGCGGTGGCGTGTACGAACGTGTTGTATCAATAGGGAGGGTCCTGGGTTGTTTTTTGGAGCGCACGCGAATTTTTGTCTCTTGAATTATGAAAAAATTTGTCTCTTTCATTTTTCCGTCGTCTCGCCTATCGTACAGGGCTATCTATGTACAGGGCATCACGGGCAGCACGCGTCCCCGTCATCCCATGCTGAACGCGTGCCTCACCTCCCTCTCCTGGCGCATCATCGCGCTCACCTTCACCGGGTCCACCGCCGCGCCGCCGTTGACGTCCCACGCCGCGGCTTGCACGACGACGACCGACGCGTCCTCCCCGCCGTCCCCCCGCCGCGCCGCCATTCCCGCCGCCGGTCGACGGTCCGTCTTCCCCCGCGCGCTCGCCTTCTTCCCCCGCGCGCTCGCCTTCTTCCCCTTCGTCGCGCGCGACTCGTCCTTCGCGCCGACGGGACGCGCGCCGCCGCCGCCGCCGCCCAAGGCGAGGAGTCCCCCGAAGAGCGACTTCGCCGCGCGTCCGAGCGTCGACGACCCTTTCCCCCCTCGCGCGGACCCCGGGACGTACGCCGGGTCCCGCGCCCGCCGGTGGTTCTCCGCGAACGCCTGCGCCGCCTCCGCGCACGCGGCGCCGACGATGGACGCGACGACGAACAGATCCAGCAGCGCCTTTCGTCGCCTGCGCTTCCACCGCGCCGCGAGCTCCTCCGCGGTGAGTCCGCCGGCGTTTGGCTTCGGCGCCGGGCTCGGCGCCGGCTTCTTCGTCTCGGGGTCCCTCTCCCTCTCGACGTCGTGCCTCGGCGCGGAGAGCGCGTCCTTTATCGCCCGCCGCCGCGCCGTCGCCGCCGCGTCCGCGAGCTCGACGACCCTCCGCCGCGCTTTATCCTTCTCCTCCAACGTCTTTTCCATCTTCAGTCGCGCGCGCGTCGCGTCTCGCCCCGGCGCGCCATCCTCTCGGATCGCCGCGACGACCGCATTCGTCGCGTCCGCCTCCTCGGCCGCGCGCGCGCCGACCGCGAACGACGCCTTCTCCGCGTGCAACGTCGCGCCCTCGCGCGTCGACCGCAGGTGGTTCGTGAAGACCCTCAGGTCGTCGAACAGCTCGTCCGCCTCGGGACCGGGACCGCGGAGCGCGTCCGCGGCGAATCGGAGCTCCGACAGCGCGGCGTCGTCCGCGTCCTCCGCGTCCACGGCGCGCGCGTTCGCGTCGACGCGCGACGGCGACGCGGGCGTCAGCGACGACGCGCGCGACCGCCATCGTCCGTCGTCGTCATCGTCGTCGCGGAGGCGTCGCGACGCCGTCCCCGCGGCGTTCGCGCCGGGGGATCGCCCGCCGCGCGCGCCGCGAGATGTTGCCACCTCGTCGTCGCTGTCGTCGGCCATCGCGAGGAGCCGTCGCAGCGCCGCGGCGGTGGGCTTGGAGTCGAACGCGGCGACGCGCTCCGCGTCGTCCTCGGACTCGGACGAGGAGGAGGAGTACACCATCCTCGCGCGCGCGGCGGCGCGGTTCGCGCGTCGCGACCGGCGCGCGCGGCGACGGAGTGCCGAGAGCGACGCATCGGTCACGGAAGGCGTCGGACGCGACGACGCGTGCGCGTGCGTTCCCCCCTCCACATCTGATGACTCAGACGCTCCGAGCTCGCCATCGCGTCGTCACACCTCCCCGGCGCCGGCGGGGAGGGTCGTCAGCGTCATGCCCTCGCCCGGCGCGACCGCGGACGTCGACGCCGTGATCGCCGTGCCGCCGCCGAAGCTCGAGACCCTGGACGCGATCGAGACCCTCGCGGCGCGCGACGAGGACGCCGCGCCGCGCGGAGGACGCGGATCGTCGGAGGGTGGTGGGAAAAGAAGGCACGCCGCGCGCGACGACGACGACGACGACGCCGAAGCCGATCGCGCCCAAGGTGAGCGCCCGCGCGCGCGGTCGAACGACACGGCCACGCGCTCGAAGATCGTCCTCCTCCTCGGCGACGCGGTACGCGACCCGAGCCCGCTGTTCGAGCTCGGCGTGAAGATCGAGAGGGCGCTGTTCGAGGCGCACGGAGAGGACGCGTCGAACGGGGAGTATCGCGCGAGGGCGCGCTCGATCGCGTTCAACCTCGCGAAGAACGAGTCGCTGCGCGTCGGCGCGCTCGCGGGGGATATCGCGCCGGCGACGATCGCGCGGATGACCCCGGACGAGCTCGCGACGGAGGACATGCGGAACGCGCGGAAGAAGATGGAGGAGCGGCTGACGCGGAAGCGCACGCGGACGAACATGGACGGCGCGACGGAGACGGACGCGTTCGCGTGCGCGCACTGCCGCTCGACGCGATGTCAGGCGCGTTCTGTTCTGTTCGCGCGCGCGCGTCGTTAACCCCGCCCGGCGGTCCCCGCACGACCGCGCGCGCGCGCGGCGTGGCGTTTCTCTCCGCCCATCCCTCGCTCACGATCCCCGACGCGCCCACCGCGACGCCGACTGACGCGCCCCCGTCCCCGTCCCCGTCCCCGTCCCCGTCCCCGTCCCCAGTATTTGCGCGTGGGGCAGGTGCGCGACCTAGGCAAGTCGGAGACGTGGGGGAACAAGGACGCCGCGGACGACGCGAAGGTGCTGGTGAGATGTTTAGAATGCCAGGCGGAGTGGAACGAGTCTACGCTGTGAGCGACGTCGGCGCGGTGGTCGCGCGAAGCGTAGGTATGATAGCGTAGGTAGCCCAGCGCGGCGTTCGATGTTAGCTCTGAAACGAACGCGGCACCGACAGGACAGAATCGGCTCGTCGTCCATTACTCCTCCGCGCGTCGCGTCGTCGTCCGGTCGTCGTCGCGTCGCGCGCGCCGCGCGCGATGACCGCCGATCTCTCCGTGTTCGACAACGTCGGCCTCGTCGCCGCCATCATCGCCGTCTTCGTCGCGCAGTTCCTCAAGCCGTTCGCGGAGTGGGCGCGCACGAGACGCGCGCGCCCGTCGCTCGCGCTCGCGTCCGGTGGATTCCCGTCGTCGCACAGCGCCCTCGTCGCCGCGCTCGCCGCGGGGACGGGGTGCCAGGTCGGCCTCGCCGACCCGGGGTTCGGCTGCGCGGTCGTCCTCGCGCTCGTGGTGATGTACGACGCGATGGGGGTGAGGAGGCAGGCGGGGCGGCACGCGGCCGCGATCAACTCGCTCGTCAGCGGGCTGCCGTCGTCGACGTCGCGCGAGCGTCTGATGGCGACGGCGACCGGCGCGCGCCAGAGCGCGGCGAGCGAGATCGGCGCGCTGCTCGGCGAGGACGAGGACGTCGCGCTGCTGACGAGCGCGACCGACGCCGACGCGGCGTACGGCGGCGCGGAGCTGCCGGACCTGCAAGCCGGGTTCAGGGATTTCGCGCGCGCGATTCAGGAGAAGCCGCTCAGGGAGCACATCGGGCACACGCCCGTGCAGGTGCTCGCGGGGATGGGGTTGGGCGTCTTCATCGGCGTCGCGTGTGGGAAGTTCGTAGGGTGGTAGGCGGGGGTGGGTGGGGGGGAGCGGACGCGGGGAGGACGGCGGCGACGGGGACGCGCGTCGGCGTACTACAGTATTTTAAACGGGATTCATTCTTTCATTCATCGCCATTCGCCTCCTTCGCCACGCTACTTCTCCTTCTTCTTCTCGCCGCCGCCGCCGCCGCCGCCGCCGCCGCTCGGGACGTCTACCTCCCTCCCGCTCAACAGCTTAAACAGCCGCGTCTTATCCCGCAGCTCCCCGTGACGCAAGCTCAGCACGTGCTGCTTCTCCGGCCCGCCCGTCAGCTCCAACGGCACGAACATCGCGCGCGCCATCTCGTGCAGCGCGTCTTCGCTCGCGTCTCGTAACGGCGGGACGATGGACGTTACGTCCACGTCTTCGTTCACCCTGTTCCCCCAAAAGTCGAGCGTGCTTATCCTCACCCCCGGTCGCGCCGGGTCCTTCCACACGAGAGAGAGTTCCCCGACGAACCGTTCGGCGTAAAATTGCAACGCGTACGACGACGCCGCGGTGCCGACGAGGACGCCGCCCACCGCGGCCATCGTCCCGGCGCTCAGCGGGTCGTCGTTCAGGTACGCGACGAGCGGGACGATCGCCGCGGAGGAGCCCATCAGCTGGAACACCTTGAAGCGGACGAGCGCGCGGAACGTCAGGAGCCACGGGCCTCGGTACAGGACGCGCGTCTCGAGTCCGTCGGACGGCGACGGCCGGCCGACGCTCGTCTTCGTCGCGGGCGTCGTCGTCTGGTCGCTCGAGCTCGAGCCCGCCGCGGAGGACGAGAACGACGACGACGACGACGACGCGGCGGAGGAGGAGGAGGACCCCGCCGTCGGGGTCCATCGCGGCGCGGCGGACGCGGCGGCGAACCCGCGCGTTGCGTCGAGGACGGCGCCGCGATCGATCGGACGCCGGCGTCGGTCGCGATCGTCGTCGTCCGCTCGGTGGCGGCCGCCGCCGAGCCGGGAGCTCATCGCGGGGGACGCGCGCGCGAGCGCGGGGGACGCGCGACGCGACGCGAGCGCCGCGGCGGCGGCGACGCCGCGGGAGACGACGCGCGACCGCGACGTCATCGGCGGCGAGCGTCCGCGGCGCGCGCGGAACTGGACGCGACGACAGGACTTTCGATCTCGCCGTCACTCGCTAATCATCAGTCCCGCGAGCGCGAGCGGAGGTAAGCCCCGGGCGCGATGGCGTCGTCGCTCGCGCGCGCGCCGTCGCGTCCGTCGCTCGCGCGCGCGGCCTCGCGCGCCACCGCCGGACCGCGCGCCGCGGTCCCGCGCGCGCCGGCGTCCCCGTCCCCGTCCCCGTCCCCGTCCCCGTCCCCGTCGGCACCGCGAAGAAGCGTCCGCGTCGGAGCCACCGACGCGGGCGCGACCGACGACGCGACGGGCGAGGCGTGGGTTCCCGCGCGTCGCGAAGCGCTCGCGAGCGACGTCGTGCGCGCGATGTTCGAACGCGACGCCGCGCTCGAGCCGCGCCTGCGTCGGATACCGCTCCCGCCCTCGCGCGTCCCGAGGTCGTTGACGCGGATGTTGATGACAAACGCGGCGTCGGGAGAGGGCGGGCGCGCGTCATCGTCGGGGTCCGGCAGCGGCAACCCCTTCCGCGACGCGACGCACCCGCGACGGCTGCGCGTGCCCGACTACGAGAACGCGCTCGCGGACGGGTGCGAGCTCACGCCGACGCCGCGCGCGGACGGCGCGCGACGGATGCGCTGCGGCGCCGCGAACGCGTACGTCGCCGAGCTGTTCCGACGCGCCGCGCGCTGTTCCGACGACGACGGCGACGGCGACGGCGCCGCCGCCGCGCGACTGTCGCGATACGACCTGTTTCACGCGCACGTGTTCGTTCGCGCGAGCGGCGGGCGCGGAGGCGTCGTCGGCCTCCTCATGCACGCGCTCGAGTACCCGCGGTACGACGACGCGGACTTCCCGTTCGCTCTGGGGAACTGTCAGCGCGGTTCGGACGTCGCGTTCGCGCCCGCGGCGGCGGCCGGGAGAAATATATTATGGACCGCGGACGCGGCGGGGCGGTGCGCGTTCGCGCGTCTCGACACGAGCGAGACGTCGCCGCTGCGCGGGCTCCTCACCGTGCCCGCGCTGCACACGACGTACGAGGGCGATTTCGGGGACGCGGTCCTCGGGGATCTGCTGTACTTCAACGGGGTCGCGGACGGTCGGAAGCCGAAGCATTCGGTGTTCGCTTTCCCGCGGTGATAGTCTGGTAGTCACGTCTTAGCCCCGACAAACGCGGGAGCGCGCGCGTCGACCGGAAAGGATGCTCGTAGTTCGTAGCCCTAGTAGAGATTCTTTCACGTCGTGATGATCGATGAAAGCACCGCTAGCTCGCCCCAGACATCAGTCCACCATCGCCTCCACCCCTCCCTCCCGAGAAAAAGAAAAAGAAATTAACCGTGATCCCCTCCTTCTCGCTCTCGCGCGCGCGCTCGCCTCGACCTCTGCGCTCATCACTCGCTCCCGACGGCGTCCATCAAAAATCGAAACGCCGGGTTCTCGCGCATCGCCTCCGGCGGCTCCACGACGCTCAGATCGATCGAAGACATCGTCCCCGAGATGTCGTCGATCGTGAAGTGAATCGACGAGTCGTCGTCCAGCAAAAACGAGTTGGACATGTTCGTGTTCTGATCCTTCATCATCAGCTCCTTCATCGCCACGAGCACCTCCTGCGACACCGTCTCCGTGCCGTACTTGTCGTCCCAGTACATCGTGGATATCCGGTACAGCTGCTGGATGGAGAGCACGGGGCACAGCTCCAGGGTGATCTCGTTCAGCGTCTTCTTCGGCTTTTGGTGAATCACGAGGAGCTGCACAGCCTGGCGGATGTACCGGAGCTCCTCCCACGCGTTCCCGGTGTGGTCTTTGCTCTCGATGAGCCAATTCTCCAGCTCCGCGAGGCCCGTCTTGATGTACTCGCCGTTGCTGAACGAGCAGCACTCGCGGCGGAGTAAGAGCGCGTTGAACAGCTGGACGTTGATGAAGCAAAAGATTTGCGTGAAAAACTTCCGGACGAGAAACGTCGGGACGTGGTTCGCCTTCATCACCGCGAGGAGGTCGTCGAGGCAGTCCAGGATCGTCCTCCAGTGCGTCCCCAACTGCGGGCCGAGCTGGTTCGCGGTGGGACTCCTCGGCGCGCCATGTCCGCCGCCGTGGCCGCCTCTTCGCGAAGACGCGTCGCCGCCTGATCCGCCGCGCAGCCGCGGCGCTTGGATGCACGACCCGAGCTGCGGCGTGATCTCGCGCTTGACGTTGTCGCGCAGGAACCCGTAAATTTTCTCGACAAACGCGGTGAGCTGCTGCTTGAACAAGAACGCGGGGTACTTGGCGTCCACCTGTCGCACGCCCGGGATGCCGACGGGCTCGCCCCCGTCCTTACCCGCGCTGTTACCCGCGGGCGACGACCGCAGGCGGCTGTTGAACCGCTCGAATATCCCGACGCCGGCGCTGCGTCGCCGCGCGCTCCCGAGCCCGCCCCCCGACGTCTTGAGCGTCCGTTGCAGCAGATGCAGCAGCGTGAACGTGTTCGAGAGCCAGTACGTCAGCTTCGCGTTGTCGTCCGTCGTCACCTCCACGGCCGCGGACATGTTGCCCATGATCCTGTCGAACAGTCCGGTGCGCTCGAGCTCGAACACGCGCCAGTGCAGCAGCGACCGGAACGCGACGCACGCGAGAATCGGCGTCCCGCCGCTGAAGCCGACGTCGGAGGCTCGGTCGATCACCTCGAGGAGGACGTCGTGCTCCGCGCTCGCGCGCGCGTTCGCGAGCGACGCGCGCTTCGCGTCCAGTTCCGCCTGCTGTCGCTCGATGTCGCGCTCCGTGCCGGCGCTGGGCGGGGTGAGCCCGGTGACGCTGTCCGGCGTCGGCGGCGATAAGCCGCCGTCGACGCCCGCGCCCGCCGCGAGAGTCGTCTTGGGGCCAGTCGGGGTCTTCATGTTGTCCGCCGCCTTCATGGACGTCATCGCCATGACGTTCTCCTTGGCGATCTGTTTCAAGCGCGCGTTCTCGTTCTCGAGCATCATCACGCGCTCTCGAAGCGCTCTGTTGTCCTCGTCGGACGCCTTCAGACGCGCGGCGAGGGTTTCGACGTTTTCCTTCTCCGCCGCCAGCGCCGCCGCGGCGTTCGCCTTGGACGTCTCCAGCGCCCTCGCCGTCTCCTCCGCGGACGCGCGCAGGGCGTCGAGCGCCGCGGACGTCGCCGCCGCCTCCGCGACGCGCGCAGCCTCCGTGGCCTCGGCTTCCGCTCTCGCGGCTTCGACGCGCTCGAGCGCGGCTTGCTCCTCCGCGACGCGACGCGCTTCCCTCGCCGCCGCCGTCGCCGCCGCCTCCATCGCCGCGCGCATCTCCTCCATCGCCGCCGCGTGCTCGGCCGCTTCCTTCTCGCGCTTCGCTTCCATCTCCATCAGGCGTCTGTGCTCGAGCTCCGCTTTCACGCGTTCGAGCTCCAGGCGTTTCTCGAGCTCGCTCTTCGCCTTTTGCAGCGCCCCGGTCTCGCGTTGCTCGTGCCTGCGCCTGCGAAGCTCCCGCCCCGCGGCTTTCTTCCTCCACGCGCACTGGAACGTCACGGACGCCTTCTTACGCCTGACGTACGCCTCCCTCTGCGCGCACATGCGCACGTGCGCTTGAATCTTCGTCGCGGCGACGTGCTGGCGGTGCACGCGGTACCGCGCGCGCTGCGCGGCTCCGCGCGCGTGCGCTTGAATCCGCACCGTCGCCGACCGCAACGCGTGAAATTTGCGCACCGCGATGGCGCACCGCGCGCGGGCTTGGCACCTCGTCGCCGCGTTCGTGAGGCGGATGTGATTCGCGAGCCTGCGCGCGAGCATCCCGCGCGTCCACCGCGCGACGCAGTTCGCCGCGGCTTTCGTCGCGAGGAACGCTTTCCGTTTCTGTCCTCTCCGGACAAACTTTTGGACAAAGACGGCCGCGTCGTTGAGCGCTTTGTGCCTGATCACATCGAGGACAGCCATCTGTCCGGCGCGGAGGAACACCTTCGTCTTCCCCATCTGCCACGACGACAACCCGGCGTCGGCTAAGATGCTCTTGATGACGTCCACCTCGAGACCGGGCTTGAACAGCGCGTCCTTGTCCTTCGCGAGTAATCCGAACCGGTCCAGGAATTCCTCGATGGGTTTTCGCGACGGGTACCCCGCGCACGATATCCGAACCGCCTCCAACACGCCGCCGCACCTCAGCTGGTGCAAGACGTTCGCGTTCTCGAACACCATCGGTTTGTTCAGCTGGTTGGGTTTGATGCACCGGATGTAGTGCGGGCTCGTCTGGTTCAGCTTCGCCATGAGCTCCGCGAGCTGCGTCTTGAACCCGGCGGCGATGGATGAAAACTTCATCGCGTTTTTCCCCCGCCCGCCGCCCCCCGCCGCTTTCAACGCCGCGTCTGCTTTGACGTCGAAAATACCCACGAGCAGTTCCATCCCGCTCGAGGCGAGGAGCGACTGGTGCTCCGCGACGACGAAATCTTTGTTCTTCTCGATGAAGTGATCGCTCTCGTACGTCACCTCGCCGGCGTAGTGCGTCAACGTGAACGCGGTGACGCTTCGTTTGGGCTTTTTAAACCTCGGGTTGTCGCTCAACCCGGCGTAGAGCTTCTGCGAGAGCTGCTCGTGCGTCGTCGTCGGGAACATGCACGCCTCGTCCAGCATGGTTATGATGCCCGGCGGGTTGGACTTCTTCTCGATGAGGTCCAGCACGTCCTGGTTGTCCACGAACTCGATGTACGACCAGTCGATCGCCTCGCGTTCGTACTCCTCTTGTTCCATCTTGAAGACGTGCTGGTTGAAGTGCTGCTGGAGCTTCTCGTTCGCGAGGTTGATGCAAAACTGCTCGAACGAGTTCGTCTTGAACGACTCGAAGCCGTATATGTCGAGCACGCCGATGAAGCACTCCGAGCTCGCGTCCTGCCCGATGCTGACGTTGATGCGCGCCACGAGCCAATCGAACAGACGCGAGTACAGCGTCTTAGCGAGCGAATCTCTCGAGTTGAGCGCCGCGTGCACGTCCAGCGGCTTCGTGATCGCGCCATCCGGCGTCGCGATCGTCCGCGTCTTCAGCGCCTTCTCGAGCCGCGACGCGTCCACCATCATCACCGCCGCGGCGTCCTCGAGCGCGGTCGCGGACGCGGCGTCCTTGAGCTCGCACCCGTCGTCGGAGGCGCCGTCGATCGGTTTGAAGTCGACGTTGCCAAGATGGAGGATCCCCGCGATGACGCGCATCACCGCGTCTTGTTCGCGCTTCTCGATCCCGACGACGTCCATCGCGCGCCTCGTCGCGGCGTACTCCGTCGCGTTGTCCACGCCGTCTAACGTCGCGCAGCTGCTCTGGTTCGTGTAGTGGTAGTCCGCGGGGGTTTTCAGACGCAGCGTCGCGCGCTCGTCGTCCGACGCGCCGTCCAGGAGTTGGTAAAAGACGTGAAAGTTTCGCTCCGGGTCGTCGACGTTGACGATCCGCGAGCGCTCGAGCAAGTACGTCCGGATCGCCGCGCCGGAGATTCGGTCGTGCTTATCGAACTGAATCTCGATGAACTTCCCGAACCGCGACGAGTTGTCGTTTCGCACCGTCTTCGCGTTTCCGAACGCCTCCAAGAGCGGGTTGGACTCCAAGACTTGCTGCTCCACCGGCCTCGCGTGGTCGAATTCGACGTCGCCGTCGCCGCCGGTCTCGCCGCCGTCCGCGTCCGCGCACCTTCCCCCCATGTGCGCGAGGTACTGCATGATCTGCTTCGCCGTCTCCGTCTTCCCCGCGCCGGACTCGCCGCTGACTAGGATGCTCTGCGACGCCTTCTCTTTGGACATGGCGCGAAACGCCGCCTCCGCGACGGCGAAGACGTGCGGGGACAGCTCCCCGAGCTGCGTCCCTCGGTACTGGTCCATCATGTGGTGGTCGTACAGGTGCGGGATTCGCTGGAACGGGTTAACCTGGGGATCGAGGACACGAGACGGGGACGCGGGGGGGACGAGGCGTTAGTCGGTCGGTCGGCGAGGGGGTTCGATCGATCGGGAGACGAGAAAGCAGAAGAGACGGAAACTTTGCCGTTGGAGGGAAAAACGGGGACGGCGAGGGCGCGCGCGACGCCGCCGCGGGGACGCGCCGCGATGAGAATCGACCCGGTGTACGTGTAGATCTCGTCCAGGCCGTATCGGTTCCCGAGGTTGTGCAGCACCCCAGGCTCGTGGAGGTAATTCAGCTTCACCATGTCCTCGCGGTCTTCCCTCTCCTGGAGGTTGCACTCGCGGACGCGGATCGTCCGCGTCGCCGCCTCCGCGCTCTTCGCGCCCGCGACCTGGACGACCGCGTCGTCGCCGTCCACGGACGTCACCGTGGCGGACACCCACGCTTCGTCCGCGTCGGGGACCCATACTTTGACCCCCGCCGCGATGGCGTTCGCCGCGGCTTCGGTCATCGCGCGGCGTGCGGGGACGCGGACGCGCGGCGAGCTGTCCCGTCTCGAGTCCCGGCCGTTTGAAGGAGAGATTTGACGTTCGAGATCTCCTCCCGCGCGACCGACGAGACGACGCGACGAACGCGCGGGATGCCGCCGCGGGAACCGAGCGCGAGTTCGCTCGCGCGTGTCGAACGCGCGTTCTCGACCGCGGGGAACGCTCTCGCGTCGAAGCGAGGCGCCGTGCGAAGCGTCCGCGGTTGTGGCGCGTCAACAGCGGAAGCTCCGAAGAGAGCGAGAGGCACTCGACAGCCGGCGAGTCGCGTGATTTGGCCGCGCCAGTCTGTCGCATTTTTTGTCCCCCTCTACAGTACGCGCATAGCACGGCACTCGCACCCGCGCGCGGCGCGTCATCATGGCGTCCCAGAGCTCGCACCTCGGGGCGTACCGGAACTTGACGGACAAGTTCATCAAGATGCGCGATAAAGCGCGTCGGGGAGACGGTGCGACCCCGCCCGCGCGACGCCCCGCCGCGACGTCGCGACGCGCGCGTCTCGCTCGTTCGTTTCACCCCGAAAAACTCCTCGTTTTCTGTGACGCGAACGAACCCTTCCTCGGCGGGATCTGACGTCGCCCCCGTCGTCCAACCCCCCGCAGCGCTCCGCGACGACTCGGAGATCGATCACAGGAGGGAAGCCGCGTCGACGCGCCTGTTAGAGGCTGCGATCGAGAGCAGCAGCAGCATGGGCGCGGGCGGCGGGGACGTCGCCATCGACATCCCGGACGGCCGCGGCGGTCGCGGCGGCCGCGGCGCGTCGCTCCCTCCCGCGTGGGTCGACTTCAGCGAGGAAGCGTCGGGGGACATCGCGAGGATCAAAGAGAAGATCAAAGAGCTCGCCGCCGCGCACGCCAAGGCGTTGTTACCCACGTTCGACGAGATGGGAGGCGCGGACGACCACGTCGTCGAGATGGTGACGCAAGACGCGACGCGGCTTTTTAAACGTTGCGAAGGGCGTCTGCAGAGGCTGTCCGCCCCGGGCGTGTGCACGACGCGCGAGGACGCGACGATCGTGAAGAACGTGCAGAGGAAGCTCGCGGTGGAGCTCCAAGCGCTGTCGATGGAGTTTCGAAAGATGCAGCGGAGTTACCTCGCGCGGCTCAAGTCGCAGCAGGACCGCGGCCCGGGCGCGAGGGGCGTGGACGACGTCTTCGGGTTCGTCGACGCCGCGGGAGGGAGTGGGAGTGGGAGTGGCGGGGGGGGATGGGGGGACGAGTCCGCGCAGGATCAAGACATGGGGTTCACGGACGTGCAGCTGCAGAGGGTGGACAGGAGCGAGGCGATGTCCTTCGAACGCGACCAGGAGGTTATGAAGATTTTGGAATCCGTCAACGACTTGTCCAACGTCATGAAGGACCTGTCCGTGTTGATCATCGACCAGGGGAGCATCTTGGACCGGATCGACTACAACTGCGAGCAGGTCGCGATGACCGTGGACGACGGGCGGAAGCAGCTCATAAAAGCGGAGACGCATCAGAAGAACTCGCGGATGATCATCTGCATCTACTTCCTCATGGTCATGTGCGGGATCATGACGCTCGTCGTCGTGTTTCAGAAGATGTAGACAGGATGTGACGACGCGAAGCGACGACGTGACGCGACGCGATGCCTTTTTAGCAGTCGTCGTGTCATCGCGACGTACGTAGCAGAGCGTTAATTATAGTAGGTGTGAATGGATCGTATACACAACGCACACATCAATGCAGGATGGTCTCGGATAATACGCCGGGACCGCGCGCGGCTTAATACACCGCGTTCTGAGCGACAAATGCGGGGGAAGGTCTACTTGCCCCCATCTGCGGAGCCGTTGATAGTTTGGATGCTGGAAGGTCGCGGATAACACGCCGGGACCGCGCGGCGTGTCACACCGCGTTCTGAGCGTCCGCGAACGGGTCGAGCGGGACGCCGTTGCGCCCCCGACCGTCCGACCTCTTGTCCCTCTTCTTCTTCTTCTTCATCTCGGCCTCGTCCCGGCTCGGCGAATCGTCCGGGGAGGACCTCCACTCCTCTCGCACGGGCTTCAGCGCGGACGGGGGCATGTTCAGGACGACGTCCCCTCCCGCTCCCGCAGAGGACGACGTGGGGACGGGTTGAATCCCCATCTGCGCGAACACGCTCGCCGCCCTCAGGCTCTCGCCGCGGCTTCCTTTCGAGTGTTGCGAACTCCCGTAGTCGCTCTCGGACTCGCTCTCGACGGGCTGGTTGTTGATGAACACCCGCGATATTTTCGCACCTTTGACGCTGTCGTCCGGACCGACGTCCGCGACGCCCCCCGCGGCGCCCTCCATGACTTCGCTCAGCGCCATCGCAAACTTCGCGGCGTCGCCGGCTCTCACGCGCATCTCCATCGAGTGCTCCGCCCCGCTCGCCGTCTTGAACTTAAACACCGTCGTCTGGAACTCCGTGTACGACCTTCCGCCGTGCTGGGACTGGTCCAGGCCTTTGACTTCGTCGTCCAGGTTCACCCGCAGACCGATCTGTCGTTTGATGACGTACAGCACGATCGAGCACGTGACGACGACCCACGAGACTTGCGCGAGCAAAAACACGAAATTCGACCCGAGAATCGCGCCCGAGTTGGCGCACCCCATGAACAACCCGCACGGGGTCTCGCCGTCGTCGACGTACGAGTCGTACTTCGTGAGGTACGCCCGAGACGACGTGAACAGCGAGGCGGCGAGGAGCCCCCACACGCCGCCGCCGAGGTGCACGGGCACGGCGTCCACGACGTCGTCCACCTTGAACTTGTGAAGTAAAATTTTCGAAGCCGTCGGATACACGATCCCGGCGACCGACCCGACGATCACCGCGTAGTGCGGCTCGATCAGACCCGCGCTGCCGGATATGGACACGAGCCCGCACAGGATCCCGTTGTTCATACGTCGCGGTTCGAGCTTCTGATGCTTCGCGTACGAGTCCATGAGCATCGTCACCGCGCCGCCAAACGCGGCGGCGATGGTCGTGTTCACCGCGGACCGCCCCGCTAAGACCCCCTTACCGCCGGATAACGACGTCGAAGCGACGCAGTTGAAGCCGTACCAGCAGAACCACATGATGTACGTCCCGAGGGTCTGGAACACCGGACTCTGATACGGCATCTCCACGAGGTGGTTTCCGTTGAACCGCCCGACGCGCGGGCCGACAGCGACGCACGCGAGAAGCGCCGCGAGGCCGCCGGTGACGTGCACGACCGCGCTCCCGGCGTAGTCCACGACCCCGGAGGAGAACAGGAGGCCGTTGGACTTAGACCTCATCGCGGACGCCCACCCATCGTCGCTCCACGCCCAGTGCGCGACCACGGGGTAGATGAAACCGGTGATGCACGCGCCGTAGACGGCGTACGCTTTGAATCGGAACCTCTCCGCGACGGCGCCGGAGACGATCGTGGTCGCCGTCGCCGCGAACGCGAACGCGTACACGAACTTGGCGTAGTTCACGCCTCGGAGCGCTTCCGCGTCGTCGGAGCGGTCGCTGCCGTGGAACGCGCGGGACTGCAGCGCGAACGCGGTGCCGCCGATGAAGGACGAGTTCCCTCCGTAGAGAAACGCGTACCCGACGAGGTAGAAGCACACGGTGGAGAACGAGACGTCCATGAGGTTCTTGAACAGGATGTTCTTCGTGTTGCGGATGGAGACTGCGGGTTGGTTTTTGTGGCGGTGGGGGGTGGGCGGGGGGGGAGGGGAGAAGGACCTGAACCCCGACCTGCTCAAGGGCCAGCGCGCGACGCGCGACATCC